CCGGATGAACATGGACGTGAATACCTGACTAGGTGAGCTTCGGATTGTGCATAACTGGTGATTGTGAGGCTGGCGCCAGAATGTTTGGTACAGCGTGTTGGGTATGACGTCCGTTGGTATTGGGGTCAGGGGAGATTCAGATAAGGATGGTTCTGGAGAGACGCGTTGTCTATGGTTCCTTGCACGTTGTTGCGTGGTGAGGGACGTGAGGACAGTTGGTTTCCTTCGTTGAGAAGGCAGTTTGACTGGTCAGGTAATGGGCGGGTAGCCCGGTGGGTTGATGAACAGTTGTCTAGATAAATCGAACCAGTTCCGTTTCTGTTAAAAAAAAGTGGAACCTTGTCTGGGAAATGACAAGGAACACTGAACGGATCAGGCGAAAGTAACAGGACGAAACTGTGGATTCTTTTGAGCGTTGTACTAATGTGTAGGTGATGGTAGGTAGGAGACCCGAGTCTAATCTTCGTAGTACAAGGTTCGAGGAATATAAGGGGATGCGTCACGTGGAGTATGATAGTGTAAGCGAATGGTAAGCAATCGGCTTACATGCATATCCTTATCCTCAACGCAATCTCCTCATTCACTGTACTCACCAAGCTTCATGGAAAATTCCAAAGTCCTCGTCATCGGAGGTTCACGAAACATAGGCTATTACTCTGCTGTCCGGCTTCTTGGTTAGATGGCCCCTTTCTTTGATGCCCAAACATATGTGCTCTGAAATCTTGTGCCAACAGCTCTCGGCGCTACCGTTACATTCCTCCTGCGCTCATCACAAGTCTTTGATCAGGATGACACGATCCAAAATTACATCAAGGAAGGTAAAGCCCGCCTTATCCAAGGTGATGCACTCGTGAAGAGCGATGTCCGCCGGGCATGGTCTGAGGCTCAGCATCAACAGGGGGATGACTCAGATGCCAAACCAGTCAACTTCCTCATCTTCACAGTCGGTGCACATAATCAATTCCATCATTGCACAATATTTTACTCATTCAAGTACCTACCAGGCGGAATTCCCCAGTTTTCACTAAGGAGGGGCTTCACCGTCACCCCGCCAAACCTTGTTACCCAGTCCCTCCTCAACATCCTCGAGACTCTCCCATCTCCGCACCCAAAGATGATAACGATCTCGTCCATAGGCCTCACGCACGCCTCCCACCAAATTCTTCCTCTTCTGCTCAAACCAGTCTATAGCTACCTCCTTTCCGAACCGCACAAAGACAAATGCGGCGCGGAGGAAGCTATAACTCATAGCGCAGGGTGGACTTGGGATGCAAGAGACAGCCCAGGCAACAAGATTTCCGGTGTTGATTGGACGAACCGTATCCCCAATCCTGGGGAACTTAAGAGTATTGTCATCGTCCGGCCCATGCTGCTAACTGACGGGGAGTGTCACGCGGACATAAAAGGTAAAGGAAGTGGAGCATATTGAGTGAAAGAAGGGGATTTGGAGAGCAGTTGGACAGTTTCGAGGATGGATGTCGCGTATTTTCTCGTGGAGGGTGTGGTGAGGCATTGGCAGGAGTGGGAGGGGAAGTGTGTGAGTGTTGCGTATTGATCCCATTTGGGGGTTGTCGTATAGATTCGATTGTTTCCTTGTGTCCTCTGGACTATGTGTGTAGGTTCTTATTCATCTACCGTTGTTGTTGGTTCTGACTTGTGTCTAGCGCAACTATTATGCCCCATCCTGGTTCTCTCTATTCCGATATTTAACACCAAGTGCAATATTTCATGCACATCATCCTACATGATCAAGTCCCATGGTCCCCCGCGGCTCGCTGCTTCTCTCAGTACAGCATGGAGACGTGGATCATGGACCCTAATTAATCAAATTTTCGTCCTTGTGTCAAGCTTATAAGCTAGCGCAATTCTAATAGCCCTTCTCTTGAACTTTTATTAATCGAAACGCATAATCATATCCGCAATCATCTACACCTACTCCATCGTTACAATCGTCACAAATATAATCAGTCGCTGTCCCCTTATTGGATTGTTTAAAAATTAGAGGGTGTAACCGATTAATTATATGCGCTCGCATCTCCTGCTGCTCCTGCAGACGACCTTAGTGAATAGCGATGAACTCGAAGTCCAGGAAAGAGAAAGTACTAGGCTTCATGCTCACAGACTTCAGTTGTACTGCATGGCGGAAATCAACCCGTCAACACTGCGTGTTGTCCAAAAATTTCAGCGGCTGAGAAGTGGCTGGAATCTTGGGGGGTCAAAAATTTCTGCCATCTTCTCCGCCATCAACTATCCGACAGCCGTGAAAATGTCGGAAATCTAGGGGTGTTAAAAATTTTACCCACCTTGAATATCAGTCAGCTGTGAATATGTCGGAAACTTGACCCTCAATTCGCGCCGATGTTAAATATTGTTAACCACTTATCTAAGTTCCCAGAAGGATATTGGCACGCGACCACGTGACCCTTTTCATGGTTGGTTGTTTCTAGAGCCTGCAGCTGAGAATCATGATCATGAACAGGTAACAGACAGGAGTGCTAACAGAAGCAGCGAGCCTTAGCATTGAGGACGTTCTCAGCGGAGTTTGAATTTACTCTTGCTCTCATCGTCCATGTCGCCTCCCTTCACCCAACGACAGATGACCATTGTTGCCGTGGTTTCCTTCCAGGTCCGTTAATACTTTAGGCGCCCTTTCTCCTCACCAAGTTTATAGTCGTTCTTCTGGGGCTATTCTCTAGCTTTCAGTGACACTGCCAGCCCCTATATCGGCGACCTCAGTATGCTTCTCGTCAAAATTCAAACTTCCCACCTTTGACCCTTGTTCATTAGGATACTTTGCCTTGCGAAATGTACTCGACCAAACTTCTATTGGTAGTGTCAGAGTACCTGCCATTGTATTTTGCGTCTTCTAGCTTATGTTCGCTGCTATCATGTACGTCATATCCATCATCTCTCATTCAGAGCACTCATTTAACCTAGTTCCAGTCCCATGATCGCCATCAGTGCCGTTGCGGAATGCAGCCGCTTGGGTCCTCTCCTTGCATTCGTTTTCGCTTGGTCTACACTTGTCTTCCATCTAACAATATCCCCGTCGCATCCACGTACAGATTTCCAAGGAGGTCGACCGGTACAGGTGTGCCATGTCTTCTCAATGAGTTCTCCTACTTACCCAGACTTAACAGCACTAAACGGACTCCATCTTGGACCAATAGGAGAATGTATGCGACTCATACTGATTCCCTCGACACACCTGAGAAGTCTAATACCACTAACTTCTCGTACACATCAATACCATCATACGTCACATCAGACAATGTAAGTTCTCCTATCACTGTTTAAATCTGCATCTAACAGGTGAGCAGAAACCTGTTGTCTGCCGTCTACTCCTTCCACCACCTACCGCTACATTGTCCCCCAAAACGTGTGCTTCTCCGATGCTCCAATTGCCCTCAGCATACATACCTACGCCTGATCCGCATGCTACACTTAAACGGTACACTGGCCGAATGCTTGATCGCATCATTGGCTATATGTGGTGGCTTCTCACAGTGGCAGGAGCCAGGTCGACCATTGTAAGGATTTTCTCCATGGTGGATTAACATGACACCCTGCGACTCTAGCACTCTGTATGCGCAGCTGCATTGATTAATTAAGGCTGCTTAATATATTGTTGGGTTTTCATGATATGCGTGCGCGTGGACGACGAGGCAATTCCAAACGAAGCGACGCGAGTGGTGCAAATTATGATATTTGTGAATTTAGAAATGAATTATAATTAAAAATGATAATTAAATATAGCTGGTGAATATTAATTGCAAGCATATATATATAGTAGTTATCCAGACCCCAGATATCAGCCGGTTGATACTTAGTGTCCAGAAAGCTGGCTAAACGCTGGCAGAGAGGCAGAAAAACAGCCACCTCTCCTACGTTGGAACCTTTCGGCAGAAATCTGGCAGAGAACCAAGGCCTAGGTTAGTTTTCTGCTACCTTTCTGCAAGCGTAAATTTTAGACAACACGCAGTGCAACATACTTGGTAGTTATAGATCATTCTGTTTGGACTCTGCTGCACTTCCTACTGGATGACTTCCCGTAGGCTTGAAATAATCGGATTAGAATAAATATTATTACTTTAGGAAGGTGTGCCACGATGCCGATCGCAATTTACGCCACATTGACACACCGACATAATTTTGCACCCCCTCATAAACCTTATTTTATTTTAATCTGTAGGGGGGGGGGCCCCCCTACAGATTAATCCGACTAGAATTCTTCCGTTTTGGACCACTACGCCAACGATATCGGCTGACATAATACCGCTCGCACGCACTTTGCGAGTTACACCAAAGTTACACTGTAACAGTGTAGCGTTGAAAGACTTCACAGTGTATTGTCAAAAGAACTACATGCCACAGGTAAGTTCTCTCCGTTCTTCTCGGCCAATGGTCCACCCTGCACAGGCTCAAATTGATAGCTCATGATACTAGCCAGTTTTCGTCAATCTTTTCATTCGATGTCGCCATCCGTCACGTTAAACAGCTATGTCCCTTCATTTTTCATTCCACGCTATACCACATGAATCCTAGTTACAACACTTGCCAGGGTGTATTTTCCCGTGGATTTGAAAGAAGCTGCGAGCGGCAAAGGTATAATCTGTTGAGGTGGCGATTGTTGATGCGCTCTTGGCGGGCAACCTCTACTCCAGCGATAAGTGCCGCTGCTAGCACACGTGAACCTTCTTCGTCTTCGAGGATGTCTGCCTCATTGTCGTTCAGAAGTGAATGTACGAAATCGTCCATTTATCAAGGATTATATCTATGTAGTCGGCCTACGGTTGAATATCGTCGTATAGATTAAAAAATAAACCCGATTTCCCATGGTTTTTCAAAGTCCGAAATATTCTATTCTGATTATTTAGCCTACGGGAGGGCACCTGATTTCTCGAAAGTCCGGTCCGTCCGTCTGTCCGTCTGTCTGTCCGGTCCGTCTGCCTATTCTGGCCGACCACAAATAGCACCAAACATAGTATTTTTTTTTGTCACTAGTAGTGCGGCGGCTCGTAGTATTAATCGGTTGCTACAATGGTCGAGCTCGTATGTTTAGGCCAAGCACTCTCAAATATTCATGGACTCTCACTCGAGACTATTCTGACCTTTGTTACCTTGGCCTCTGCTGTCAAGGAAGACATGATATTAGCCCAGCCTGCAACATATGATGTATCTACACCTCCGGACTTCATGCCTCCTAGCGTGTCTTTGTTTTTGGGCTCCGCATGCTCCCTGACACAAGACTCAGTGCGAATCTGCTGGTCCACCTTAAAACACGATATCTGGAAAGACAGATTCACGCTGCACCACAACACCCACTCACTGTTCGAACAATTCGGTTATCCTCATGGCCTGAGTCAGTGCCGGTGTGAATTTGACTCAAGTCGTTACTGACGGAGGACTGTATACTAGCCTACAAGACATTCTACCCTCCGTTCAAGATGTGCACAGAAGCAACTTGTGAACGACGAGCAAACAGATTGCTTTTGAACAAGGTTGAACAAGTCCGAGTTGTGTATGTGAGTCTCGAACATGGGACGATGCCTGCATATGATGTTGCAATGCGATGCGAACGTGCGTGTTATGTCCGTCTCATTGTAGCTGAAGTCAATGTTGAATGGGTGCCAGGCTGCAAAATCACTTATCACCACAATGTGGGAGATCAACGTTCAACTCCAATGGTGTATCATATTAGGCATAAAGGCTCGTTACAAATCAATAACTGGTATGATACAAAACGAATCAATGAAGATACTGGCGTCTAGACTGTACTAAGCTCCCATGCGCGATACTTAGCCAAGAATACAGGCCATAGCGCAGGCTTTGCACCACTCTGCGTGTATTTGTCACGAAGTGTCTGAGGTGCACGGAACCACCTTGCATGGTTGTCGTGGAAGGTGGATTTCTTGAAGGGTATGTGGAAATGCGCTTCGAACGCGACTTTGACCGTGGATTTCTTTGACCATTTGGCAAGTTCACAGACCCCAAACCCTTCGACAACTTCAACAACGGAGAAATCAGTGGGCCAAGCCTTGATCTCATCAACATTGATAGCATCTGAAGGTGTGTCACCGTGCTCCTCCCATGAAAGCGACTCGACAGAGACGTGGCATGTGCGTTGGCGATGACGACGATGACGACGTAGTACAGGAGTGTCTCCGAGTGACTCAGAGACTTGGCGCTGGCGTGAGGGTCCCGCATGTTGAATTTGGTGCTGGCGTCGAGGTGGGAGTTCTGGAGAGGATGTAGGTGAGTGTGTGCCTGCACGCAAGCGTTGACGAAAGGTCAACGGAGCTGGAGAATGTTCGAAAGGTTGCTGTAGGGGAGAAGGTCGCAGTGGGGAAGAGCCTGGTACAACCGTCGGAGAAGAGAAGATGTGCTGGATATGTTTCCGTGGAGGTGACGGTGAGATCAGAGGTGTGGATGAACGTCGATGAGCTGGACGCTTGCGGTGAGTCGTGATGATGACAGGTTGGTCGCTTGCAGGTTCTTCATCAAGGGCATCGGTGCTGGCACTATGTTGACGGCTGTGGATGCCGCCAGTGCGTGGCCTCCGGATGGGTGAGGGTGAGTTAGTACCATAGAGCATTTGATCGACCTCAAGTTCACTTGATGACGGAACTAGTGAGGTACGATGTGGTGGAAGCTGCAACCAGGAAGGGAGAGTTGGAGGGGATAGTTCGAGTCCAGCTGGTTGTTGGCTCTCTCGGTTGGCAGCACGAACATGTGCACGGTCAGTGGCAAGGTGAGTGCGCATGTTCGGCTGAGTACTACTCGCATCGCGTGGCGACAAAGTCAGAAGGAGCTCGTCTAGCTCATGGCAATCTGTGGCGTGGGCATGCTTCAAGAACAACACGTCACCCTCACGTACAACAACCATATGGTCCTGACGGATGCCCTGCCAATGATGTGTTGATGTGTTGAGGAGCTGGAGTAAAGATGGCCTCACGGCGAGCTCATCTACTTCACTGTGATGGACAGCGGGCAGCCCGAGTTCTGCAAGGACCTCGTACGAGCAGTAGAAATGCGGGAAATGGAAGCCGCCTTGAAAAACAAAGCATGTGGCAGGGGAACCATCCTACAATGATCTTGGTGAGAAAAATGAGATAATGATATAAAGAAAACATACCTCTAAGAAGCCATAAACGGTGACACTATACTTCGCACGTTGTGCACTCTCTATCCGCGCAGCGTCACGACGGTGGTCTTCCTCCTCTAGTGACTGCTCATGGGCGATTTGTTGAGTGAACTGGGGTGGCATCTGTCGTGCAAATCGTGGTTTGAGGGTATGCGATCCAGATGTGCCAGCGTCCTGGACAGGAGGAGGATCTGAAGATATCAGTTGATCAATCTCGTCATCTTCAGACACCGCACGGCCCTTGCCCTTGTTAGCAGAGGTTGCAGCGGGAGCTGATGGTGGGGGTGCAGGCGCAAGATCGTGTAGGTCGTGCAGTTCGTCATTGTGTGGTTCGTCATCCAACACGAGGTTTTCTGTTGATGGGCCATGCATATCAATGTGATCTGCAACCCCTTGACAGCCACCTAAGGCACGACAGTGCTTGCGGCAAACATGCCGCAAGCAAGCCGCATTGACTCTGTGGGAATTGCAGCCAATGATGAAGCACTTCACTTTGGGCCTCAATTTTCGAGGCGGCGATTTGCGACGCCGAGAATCTGTGGCTTTGGGAGATGATGATGGGCTGCCCTTTCGACGGTAAGCAAAGCGGAAAAACTGGCAGCGCTTCGTGGTTTTGCTGCACGTGTTCTTGCCACCATCAGGTTTTGTACACTGGATGATGATCGGTTAGGGAACAGAACACCGAGGGTGAAAGAAATAAACTTGCCTTGACCATCCACCGTCCTTGGTTTCCATTTTCATAGCTACGACATATAAACCACTTGAGCTCGTCACCACATGTATCACATACTACCATCCAATCCGGGAGAGGACCATCACCCGAGTCACTTGAAGTTGACATGACTAGAAAGACATGGTGGACCGGGGGTGGGTAATGATTAGTTACGACAAAAACCTGTATAGGTTACTGGGCGTGCATCGAAGATGAAAAGACAAATGACATACTTGGAAAACTATACAGGCAAACATACTGTTGTGGGTCGTGAAGACCAGGTAATAATGTTGATGAAGAGTGGGGTGGAAAGGCCGGCAGGCACCTCGCTGGTGAGGATGATGGTGGTTGGAGTAAGAAGGCAGTGTCTACCCTTATCTCAGTATCTAATCGTGTTATTTGGTTGTGTTGTGTCAAAATGCGAACTCAGCTGGACGGACGGACGGACGGACCCCCCTGGCGGACAGGTGGACGGACGGACGGACAGGCGGACCTGGCGGACTTTCGAGAATTCCGGTTTCTTGGCCTACGGGAAGTCATCCACTTTCTATATATGGTAACTCTGCACAAGATGCATTTGTTCAAGTCATGTTCAAGTCTTGTCGAAGTTCGACTATGAACTTACGAAGTCATTGTCCATTGAGACAAGTGACGTCTTTTAGTGCAGTCACTGGCAAAGATCTATGTAGATGCGCAAAATGCGAGCTCCGTGTAGTAAGTTATCAATACCAAGTTACCAACCACTAACGCCAGAGCTCCAGGTACCGCTCACAACTTGATTCACCACCCTGGGTGTCACGCTGCCGCTGGAGTTAAATAGTGATGTGCCGGGCCTGGCTTGGGACCAGAAACACTCAAGCCAGGCCCATCCAGGGGGTTAGGCTTCCATTGGGTCTGCCTCGAGCCTCTGGTGATTCAACTGGCTTGCTCTGTACTACCACTCACCTCTGTCTGCTCACTTCACGACGCCAGACCCTTCCAAGCCCATTGTTCAAGAGCCAGCTAGCGCATCTTTTACCATGTCAAGAGCATCAAGCACTCCCATTAAACTTAGTCGAAGACCGTCAGAAGAGGGTTTCACCGATGGCGACAGTGCTGGTCTCTACGCTGCTGTATCCCATGCCGCCAGGCGGCCAAATCCACCAGCTTATTAGTGTTGACATCCGTTTATGGTGCACATGAAATAAGGTAAGATTTTCGAAAATTCTCTAAGTCCTTTCGACCATCTCCGCCATCTTCTTCTCGACGACATCAAGATGCTCGAGACCTTCCTGCTAGTTGACTCTCCCCTCCATCTTGGCTCAACATGCAAATGTATGTGCTCAGTGGTCCGTCGTTCACAGGGCTGACTTTGCATTTTCAGGCTGGTAAGCTCTACCAAGGGCAAAGAGCTACTCTTTCCTTGGACATCATCGTCATGGGATGTGGGCTTGGTGGTCTTACTGCGGCATACTGCCTCGCCCAGGCTGACCATAAAGTAACCATCCTCGAGGCCGCTCCCACGATTGGAGAGATTGGTGCTGGTATTCAGATGGGCCCAAATCTGACCCGCCGTCTTATCCGCTTGTGTCTGGGTAAGTGCCTTGCTGTCAAGCCCGAAGGATTGGTCTTCGAGCGATGTGAGTCATTGAACCTATGTTCACATACACAGCTTATCCCTCTCGCCTCGTAGGGTTCGCCGGCGAGACTGTTGCATGGTCAATGCGGGGAGACACTATGGAGGAGGAGTATGGGGCCCCTTGCTATCACATCCACGTTGAGTTTGAGCTTCAATTGGTGTCTAGTACTGTGAAACTGATGAAGATTATATATGCAGCGTTCTGATTTTCATCGCATGGTGCTTGAACTGGCAGAGCCTCATCGTACCATTCGCATGAATTGTCGGGTTTTTTCCATGGACACGTCAAAACCTACACTCACTCTCGAATCTGGCAAAGTTTCAAGTCGTGCACGCTGGTAGTCTCGTGGTGGCACATCCCGACGGCGGCGGCGAGAATCATGGACTGCCATGGGCAGCGCGGGCAAAATGAGAGCTGAGTTTGCTGGTTGGGAACTTCGGTAAGCGTTTTTCACTTTCAATAACCGCGTGCCACATCCTTACTCTCGCATATCAATCCATCCTCAGGCTCTATGATCGTGCAACCGCCACACAGCTCTCGTCTCGTTTGAATCAACAGACATTTCATCTTCCCGATGGCCCGCAGGAGGAGGAACGGGACCAGGAAATGCGTGCCGCGATGGAAGACGCTCTACGCGTGGTGCGTGGTGAGAAGAGCACGTTGGCCTCAGCAGGTAATGTGAACCAGTGGGCCGACAAGGAAAAGAACACAATTCAGTTTGGCTATGACACTGACGAAGAAGCAGAGAAATGGTGGCGGAACCAGGAGCGGGCAGGAGGATCCCGTTTTTTGCTGGGATGTACGGCGGATTCATACAGAAGCATGTAATGATTCTAAACATACTCTAAATTTAAAATAGAGGGGATTGCAGTATTTTTGACATTCTAAACAGACTTGTGACAGTCACTAATCATACACAAACCCGACCGGGGAACAAGACTTCTGTAGCCTAAAAAGAGTCTGTACTACATTCAAATCTGTATTCTGCTTAGGGTATGCAAACTCATGCTTTGTGTACTTTGATGAGTACATTCTGATTATATTTCTGTACTACGCTTTGTGTCCGTATACAGGCCCTAACCCTACCCTTTCCGCATGCGGTTTATTTTGTCGTTTTTGCAGTGACTGCTGCAGCCCTCACATTCCTGCATTTTTGCACGAACAAACACAAAACCTACATTTTCTGCAGTGCAGTACACAGGTCCAGGCGTGGCCAAGTCCATATATTCTACTTAGAAAAGAGGAATCTTTCCAGGAATAAGATGTCAGCAGCGTTAGTGAACTCGATCACGCTCTTCTGTTTGTATCCTACAGAGAAATTAGCATCATCACACGACATGTGCAACAAAGACGTACCATGACCCTCCATTTCGCATATGATGAGTTCGGTATGCACATTCTTTGACAAAGTTTTGTACAAGCTAACAGCTTCATGCACAGTTACTCGACTATCGTTCTCGCCATGGGTGATCAGGAGGGGTACCGTGATCTTCGAGATGTGGTTGATCGGCGAGATCCTTTCAAGGAACGCTCTGATTTCTGGGATGGTCTCATCGCCATACTCGAGTCTCCGATTCGCACGCCGGACAGCCGCGGTGTTCTCCAGGAACGAAGGCCAGTGCGAGATTCCAAAGTTTTCAATACCGCAGACGAGCTTCGAGGAGTAATGTGTCAGAGTCGCCTATATGCAGTACCTAGACGTGAGAACGAGGTGGCTATCAAGAAGATAAAACATATATCCCACCAAGCACATGTATCCACCATCTTCAAACAGTGAGGGTCAGTCTTTTGGTAGAGATCACGAGAAGGCTACTCACAGGATCCGCCAGCTACAGCAATGCGGGATGAATCCAATTCATTCTGCATGTTGGACGTGATGTGGTCAAGCAACGCTCCGATATCTCTGAGGAAAATTGAGCTATTTGTCCCCAAGGTGTATATATACCGTACTTGACAGAATCTTCGCGTTTCAGCACATCATCCGCGGCCATGTACGTCTTTCCATATCCCGAACTTCCGCGCACATTGGGGTAGATAACAGCAATTTTCAACTCGTTCAATAAGTAACTATGCGTAGGCCTGTGGACGTCTGTCAGCCTATAACTTGCGATATGCAAAAATCATGACTAACGTGCGGTAATTGGCGGTAGCTTGAGATGCTGGGCCACCGTGAATGTTAATAACGACGGATGTCACCGATTGACCAGCCGGGTGGTAATAGATGGCAGGGATCTCCAAGCCATCGAAACTCTTGTATCTGATGAGCGTAGGCGGGACTTCATGTGCCACCGTAGGTGGCACTGCCTGTGCGTAGGGTAAGACTGAAGCGAGTACGTAGGCATGACCCTTTTCATCTTTCTTGACATCGCCCAACAATGGAATAAGATCCAAGTAAGCGACGCGCCCTCTTGAGTGGTATGACGTGAGTTGCAGCGTCAGTTCGTACGGCTTGCCGTTGGAGTCATTCGTGTGGAAGGTGAGCCAACCCCTTTCCCAGGCAACCTTGACCTCGATCACAGTGTTCTTGTGAGAACCGGACAGCGGCATGAAAAAGAGGGAAGTCCACCCCTCGACATTGACGGTAAACACAATATTGTCGCTGGTAACCTCGAGGTTCTGAATTTCCCACAAAATTGGTCGTATGGCTTGAATTCCGGCGCTGGAGGTGGTGATGTGGATGACAGACCCCGTGTCAAGGTCATAAGTGACGATTGAGGCAAAATCACCATAGCCATTCGTGGTGCAGTAGAACAAGTGGGGTAGATTAACGTCGCGGGAGAATGAGGCATTGTCGAACGCGGTACTTTCTGCTTTCTCTGTCGCTCCTGGAAACTCGATTAGCTTTGGAGCTAACGCCTGTTCGCCAGAGATGTCGACGACGTATATAGCATTGTAGCTCGAACCATAAGTTCTTATGACCAACAAGTACTTTTCGTCAAGGGAGAAGCTCTGTGGGTGATACACAGTCGTTCCTTCTCCGGTGGTTGGTGCGACTAAACGTGAGGGCAGAGTGAAGGGAGAGGCATCTGGCTTTGCGCCCGTGTTAGAGTCCGTGAGCCTGGAAACATACACCAGGGTATCCTTGTTGTTCTCTTTATTCGACGAAAAGGCCATAAACCTGTCCCGCTCGATCAGATATGAACCAAACGAATGAAGACAGACATACTTATTTGACTGGGATATCAAAACTGAACTGTATCTATAGTCGTCGTGGGTTAGTCTCTCAATGCGTCCCAGGCTAGGTGCATTATCCAGCTCTTCTTGTATCTTTGGAAGAACTTGATCAGCAAGAGAATCCTCCCAGTAACGCCTGCGATTTTGGTCAGACGGGGTCTTCAGTTGTACGTGGTTACGTGCCATAGTTGGAAGTGTTCATTTCCGGTGAGATCCATGACCATGATGGCACCTCCGCGCCTGCGCACACCCCGCCAGTCCTCCTCAAGAATTCCACAGAACGCTGATATGGTCCTGCCAGAACCAACATCAAAGTAGGTGAGCCGGTTGAGCTCAGTACTAGAAGGATCTGTGGACATGCGATACAGCTGAGTGACTTGGGCATTTGCAGGTCTGTGTGAGACAATGACGCCTCCTGGAACTTCTCTGCCATTGGCATCCTTGGTTGTCCGCTCAAAACCTGGGGTACCATAGCCTTGGCGGCGGACATGAACCAGATATATCACAATACACTTCCAATAATATAATTGCTACACACCTCGAGCAGCATCTTCATACTGCTTCATACCATCGAAGATGCGCTGGGGCACCGCGGGCAGGTTTACGGCCTTGATCTGCCTAGCAGGTCTAGTGAACTCCAAATCGCCATAGTCGACAGGTGTAGCCATCTCGATCGCAAGCGTGGTACTGCTGATTGTAGTGATAGATAACTTGTACTTATATCGTTGAAGGGGGATATGTATAGTCAACGACCATGCGTTCGAATTGACGCTTTGTCACGCGTGATCCAGAAGGGCGCCCTTGCCCATTTGCAATGATAACAGCTATATCACGAGGTGCCATGGTGGTAGTCTCCCATAGAGTCAGACCCTTGATAGAAGGAAGACAGTCATTCCGGTCTGCTAGTTTTGGCACCGTGGTGAAGCGTCGCTTACTAAGATTAGCTGGCACTGACCTTGATAGCATTCTCAAATACAATAGACCACGAGGTCTTTCCTATACACCTCACTTGTCATCTTTCCCTGCTTCCCGACATGTATCTTCATCGCTGACGCTGTGTGGGTTGACGTTGACTAATGATCTGAGGGCTTCCAGTGGTTTTTGTTGCGTGTCACCCTTTATTCTCTTTTCGATACGCATCTCACACTAGTAACTTAAAGTCCTTATCTTTCCATCATCCTTTGTCCTCCTAGCTACATAGTACTTGCACATTCCGTTTGTTTCTTAGTTTGTTCCCTTTGACCTTCGTTCAATATCGTCTCGAAACGTTGTTCGTCGGTTCGCTTGTTTTCAACCTAGGCTTAACGGCACGCTTGATATTTTCCAAGTCCTCTTGACTCTTGAGTATTTTATTCAACTCTATCTCCGAGTCTCCGGACAATCCACCTCTTGCCTTCGAACTCGTCGCATTCTCGCCGTGTACCCATTAGTAGCTCTGCCTACAATGTCGAGCAACCAGGCGCGGATTAATGCTCTACTGAGGAAGTCGCTTGTTGGGGAACTTCTCGACACCCAATTTTACCTGTTCTCGGCTCGATCGAAGTGTGAGGCTCAGGCCAACGTCACCAACCTTCAAGCATTGTTTGCTAATGACGAAGCACTCACCGCGGGTTCAGAATACTTCAGTACCTGTGAGCCTTTTCACAACTCTGTTACCACTCAGTCAAGTTCAGCAGACACTTTCAGTACTTTCCGAAAAAACGCCCAACGATCCTGCTGTGGTCGAATTTCAAGACTACCACGATTGTGAGGGAGGGATCTCTCTTGATGAATATGGCTATGCGTCCGATAGTGACCTCGATGAAGAAGAGGAGGAGACCAGCGAAACTGTACAAGACAGTAAGTGACTTTACCCATCCTGTCTGCGGCACCGGACTATAATCTTATGTTGATCTTTTGAAGATATGGAACAAATGTCTCGAACGACACCGGTCAAGAACTTTGCTACCAAAGGGACGCAACGTATTATTCCAAGCCGCAGATTATTGGTAACAGATACTGCATTTAATACGTACGGTTTACCAGCCTGGCGCTAGGTGCCATTTTGTTGCTGATCGACTTCGTATAGATGGCGGGCTTTATTGGACTATCTGTACACTGACGAGATCGCTTTCGCACCTTTGCGATCACAAGCAAGTAAGACAGTTGGACGTCGCAGCCTTCATGAGCCCACACCATGCTCTCCGAAGTCTATGTATCGTCTGGCATGCAAGGTGCGTCTCGTGTAACCTTTGATACTCCATGTGAACTCATACCGAGGATTATACTAGATAAAACATGATAAATTGCAGGCTAAAACGCTTGCTGCGATAAAGTCTAGTTTGACTGAGCACAATATTCTACAGGAACTCTCTTCGTCTCTAACATCCAAGTGAGTCAGTCGTGCAATTGTCCTACCATTGGGATGTTGACATGTCTTCTAAAGGTTTCCTGCCATTCTTGAGATGGAAGTTGAGATTTTGTTCCAGAAAATTGTCACTCCCACTGTCATGAAAGATTTTCCGGCACTTATTCAAAAGATTGCTGGCGCTAACCTCCCCCATGGGGCTGACATCCTGACCAAGCTCCACGAAAGGATGCTAAGGCAGCACTACCCTATGAGTCTCTCTCCTGCGCCTGCGCCTCCGCCTGTGAAAGGGTATGTCGATACACGAATTGCTACTAAATCTAATTTCCTTCCGTTGAAGCTTTGCAAGTGAACGTGAAGGTTCGCCGGCGCCAAGTGGTCCATTCAAATTCAACTGGGCAGAGCCACCGATGCCGGTATCGGTGTCGTTCTAAAGAAACTTGTAGCCGCATTAATTATGTGGGCTCCCGTAGCACCACAATTTGCTCTCAACTAATGGGCCGGAGGTGTCTTGGCACTACCGCTACTTAGTTTAGGTCAGAAGAGGTCAGAAGGCATATAATCTGGACACGCCAGCTAGATTGGCACGTGTCAGATAGGACAAATATCAATATTAATAAGGGAGATCAGTAGTACTATATAGTACTAGCAGGACCAAAGGACAACTCTTATCTGAATTTGAATGGATTCCCGAGAAATCCACCTCGCAGAGGCATCTGCCCCTTCTCCGCGTGTAAAAGCTGCTCCACGGACCTCTGCCATCCGCACGCAATTCTCCTACTCCCCTAGTGACGATGGAACAGACGAGAACCTCCTTATTCTTCTGCACGGGCTCGGTGAGCACGGCATCTGACCAATTAGCTAGGGCAACTAATCCGAACTAAGTCGTCGATGAACAGGCGACACGAACGTCCCCTTCGCGCGCCTCGGGCGATCACTCAAGCTCCCGCAAACAGCCACCCTCGCGCTCCGCGCACCCGACATGTACGTCTCTGTTCCATCTTCCTGATAACATTTGTATCGATTTTGAGAATGTTCTAGTGTCCCCTTTCTGTACGAACAGGCTTTTCAGTGGTATCCTTCCTTTGACCAGCTCGGCGACCTCATCGAACGGCCAGATCCCAGTCATGCACTCAATCTTTTCAAGAATATCCTCATTCATTTAACGGGTGAATGCGGGTGGCCTCCACATCGCATCCACTTGTTCGGGTTCGCGCAAGGCGGAAGCGTCGCAGCTGAAGCATGTCTGCAGTGGTGGCGTCGCGAGCTTCAGCTCTCATCACAGTCGCGCATGACCGACAACAAGACCCCCGTGCGGCCCTTAGGTTCGCTCGTTACTATTTCTGGCCCGCTGCTCTCATATCCAACACTGTCGAAACCATGCGAGACGCCTGTTCTTGTATTCCGCCGCCCACGTGAGCTCAGGAATGCTGACCTGGATGCGTTCAGGAAAGGATTCTCCAAAGTAAAGGATGTAGAGCGTGCGGGTGAGGGTATGCCACGCGCAACCTTAAAGGAGGAATGGCAGCCAATCTTGGAGTTCTGGGGTGAGGTGCTCGGATGGCGTCCTGGAGATGGTCTGTATGAAGTCACGACGGGAGCGTCAAGTTGAGAACGAGAAAATTTCGCACATCGCTTGAAAAATATTGAAGACTCGCAGAAAGCATACATATGGATAATGATAAGTGGCTACAGATATATTGCAATGCGTATATCATGATCCTTCATATACTGGTCGTATGCTGCATGAGCATCGTCAACGAGTTCGGTCAAAAGCTTCTCTTCCCGATCCTCCAGGTCGTTCCTCGACTCGTCTATCCCCCACACGAAGTGCGTGCTCTTCCTCTCGATATTCCCCACGACAAACTCAGACCAGACCTTCCACGGTCTTGGCGAGATGGGGACAATGTCCTGGAGGACTTGCATAGGTGGCGTGTCAGAGTCCCAACAGAGCGCTAGGCACGCCAAAACGGCAGCGGATGCTCTAGAACTAGCTTGGTACGTTTTCACCTCCGGATTATTCAGTAGGGTAATGAGGGCATTCGACTGCACGTCATCTCCCTTTGCTGACAGATATAGGTTGCATGCCCCAGACACTAAGAGCGATAGCAGGAACATGATTTGTCCTGGTAGAGACCCGAAAGGCATAAAGGCGAGCTGTAGGGTAACTTGCGACAACGCTATAAATGCACAAAGAAGGAGGGTGTAACCACCTCCTTTGAGCTTCAGCCGCAGTCTTCCCTTGGTCACAGCGTTTACGTCCTCCTCGTTGCCCCTCAATATTACGATGCGGTTATCCGACAGTAGCATGCCGTCTCCGGGTGGAACTCCATCTGCTGGTTTGAGCCGTTCAAGGGTGATCCTCCCCGTGCTCATGATGAAAGAAGTGATTCCTGAGGAGACCATTCCAAGCAGAATCATCTTGAAAGATAACCAGTCCTCGACCCTGGCACAACCGGCGCAAGCTGCGATGCTAGTGGCCACAGCGATTATGGACAAGAAGGAGTGTTTAGAACTTCTTGGGGGCAGCGTGTCATCTCCCGTCAACACTTTCTTCTTGAAGTCCACGATCATCAATTGCATCGGCGTCGGGCTGACCCTCCGACCAACTATCACTGGACTGCACTCCTTGCCCCTCCAGTTGCTGTTAATCAGCATGTACGCAAGATGGCGAGTGTGCTGCATGACCGTTCCTGACCGCGATGCAACGTATTTGGGCCCTTTCTTGCCATCTATGCCGAGAGAAAGCGCGAGTCTCTCGGAATACTGTGAGTCGGAACTCTGCAACAAAGTTCTAACCAGCTCCCACACAATTGCGTGGCATCCGGGTGCGTTGTACCATCCATGCCATATCCGACCGTACAGCGGTTGTAATGCAAGCGCGGATACGGCTGCTTGGCCTCCGAAAAGAATTGCTATTCCGGATAAGACGTCGAGGTCAAAATGTGACAACGATAATCGAGAAGAAGTGAAAGCGCCGGTGAGGCAACTGAGAGGCGATTCGAGGGACATGATAATCTTGTTGGAAGGGAAATGGCCAGCCTTCTTGCACTTTTAAACATTCCTTGTCTGATGACCCTGAGTAACCATCATAGGACACTCAGCACAGGTTTGCGATGTGGGTAGGTACATAGAACTTCCACCTCGAAAACCCTGCAAATAAAAATCACCCGCAGGCCACAGTTCATGAGCAGTTTACATAAATTGCTTGTATTCGTGTGGGTACAATACTTCCTCAGAACGCCACATGATATCAAGGGTCTCGTGGTCAGTCCATGGTTCAAGCTGTGATCCGTTTTTACAACAGGCGCGACCAATGATACTTGCCAAATTCTCTCCACAGGAACGATTGATGGGCTATGTCAATACCGTATAAATCTCACTGAGAAATGGAAGTTGCATTGGTTTGTGATATGTACTTGTGCTTTTTGGTAAGATTATATTAGGCCACAACCACAAAATCAAAAGTCTCACTCGGGTACAGATACAGCTATTGTTATGACATAGTCAACTTCAAGCGTCACCTCAGAGGCGCGAGTATGTCCCTTTCGGATGTTCACCTCAATCTGCTTGTCTGAAATTATTCCAGTTGCGAAATCGGTCCGGCGCTTCTTGATGTCATCTATGTCGATGGAGCATTTCTCAATGATAGAACACACAGGACACCCAGTGCCACCACCGCCCAACTGCGCAGGATGTGGGGCGGTGGAACGCCTCGGTGGAATACTGCGGTCGTTATGTCCTGTGGAAGTAGGGGAGAGAGACTGCGAACGAGAAGACGGTGTGAGAGGGGAAATAGGGTCGACTTGGTTGTCAGATTGGATGGAAGTAGGGGAAGATAGCGCAAGAGGAAAAATAGGATCGAATTGGTTGTAAGATTGGGTAGAAGTAGGGGAAGTTACAAGACGAGGGACGTCACGGACGGTATGACGGCGAGCTTGCGAAGTGTCAACATGTTTGTGTAGGTTAGGATCTGTGTAGAGGTGTACCCAAGGACGGTGATGTTCGACCCCAATGAGAAGGACTGTAACCTCGGTACCCGGGCCCTGCGAGTAAATGCAGCCACACTGCACGTTATCTGAAAGCTCGATACGAGTGTCGTGGTCAAGAGCTTTGTAGCCACTCCCTTGACGAATATCATGATGACTTCTCGGCTTGGGGCATACATAGTAGCCGCAACCTTCCAAAATGGCATCTGTAGACCGGAAAGTGAAGAACTGCTTGCGATTAATGCTTGGAAGTATGTGGTGGTCGACCACAATACATATTTCACGCGGGGAAAGGCCTTTGAGATCTTCGGACTCGAGTGTTGGAAGCTTTGTGGGCGAAGTCCGAAGAAAATTACCGGGACTACTTTCTATCAAGTAGATCCCGCAGGGAAATTCCTGATCTCCCTTTTTGCATTTCAAGACGGCAAGCCATGCGTTTCTATCCCACTTCATGGGAAGAGTAATGCGAATGCCGTCATTCGAAACGGAATAGCCACGCGGTAGGTCAAGGGGGTTGCGATGTCGTGGAGTAGGAAGTAGGTTGATAAAATGGGAATGATCAATGGTGACGACCGGAGGAGCTGACCACTTGAAAACGTCAGGTGTAGATGCCAATAGTCCGCGATCTCTGACAAAGCTGGGTTGAGTCAGTGTATCTAGCCAGGCGAAAATGGTTTGATCATCAGATGACTTCATGATCTCGAGCTGCAGGCGTTTGAAAGCTTTCTCTCCTTCTCCGTAAATGATGGGCATATGGATGTTAAATAACCCCATCAGAGAATACGCTCTGTCCTCTATTTTCCGCGTCTTTCGCCCCGCAGCCCATGACATTTTCTCCGCGATACTAGGTTCGCATGGATTGCCCAACAGAACATCTTTGCGGATGTGGGTGATTTCATTCAGGATAGTCGCAAATGTCGCCTTGCTCCCGATCCTGGTCCAGTCCGTGTCAAAAAAATAGACATTATCGGGAGCGATTAACTCTTGTAAGGTCCATCCTCTTTTGAACCATTCGGCGTTTTCGAGAGCAAATTTAGGGTTCTCCCTAACGGCATCGTTATCGACATCGTGCAAGTAAACGTAGCACACAGCGGATTCCTGGTACCATGCGTACATGGAATTGATCGCTTCTGATAACTCTGCGCTGCTGGTTTTATCGATGCAACAGGTGTCAATCCAAATATACTCGAGACCAGCTCGAGAGGCTTGTTTGCACGCTCCTTGGAGTTTCGTTAAGCCCTTTTTGATGTGGACGTTTGGAGGGAAATTGGACTTCTTGAAGTAAACCGGTAGTGAATAACAGCAAGCAGAAGCTCGAACAAGATTACATACTGCATGATTATCGTGAGACCCTTCACTGGGAGAAACTGACATGTGCTGCAAGTCTTGGAAGGAGACTTCTTCGCTGTCCGCAAGCCATCGGTGAGATAAGATGGCATAAGGTTGGACACCCGTGGGCGTTTCTAATGTTAGTCTCGTGGTGTGTAGCAGTCGCATTGATTTTTTCGCTCTGCTGTGTGCTTAATCTCAGGCCCTTGACTTGGAGTTGCAGTCAAAGGGGAAACTCACCGCCAGGCGGATGATGATGAACGAAGGGCACGAAGGAAGACCAGTATAGAAAACAAAAAGCGGTGGCTCGATTCCTTCTAAAGAACATTTCTCAGCGTCAAATGATAAGGTAGAAAAGAGCAAGAAGGTCAGGGCGCCCGAACTCAAAAACAGTGCCTCCAAAACTGAGATAGGCTGTCCTTATGTTACTCCAGTACAGCAAGATTTTGACGTTGTTACCATCGTTATGAAAGCGGTTTGAAACAAAGTCATGACACTGCCACAAGACGGACGAGCGTAAGTGTGCACCTAGCGGGGGTGAAGAATAATATGTTTCAGCACTCTGCGGACCTTCATATGGCATTACTTGATTGATGTACTGATTCTGTCAAAAAAAAACAACGGCATGGAATGTTCTGCAAGCACCTGTACATAGACAATAACACGGAATTATGTTAGCGTTGGCAGGATTTCGTCGATGAGTACGTACCACCAAAGAACAACAAATTTGGATTGGGAGTAGGTGCTAACACAGCGTCCAGACACAGCACAAGTGTCAGGGCCTTTCGTCCCTGACGTTGGCGGCGGCAACTGGGAGTTTGTACTACTAGAGACTTGTTAATTTATTCCAAGTTGAGGGTCGCCTACCTTGCCATAATGTTAGACCTGAACAACCAGACACCAGACACCAGACACCACTGGACCACTATTAAATTGAGAGTCAATGGATTAGATTTGTTAGGACAAAGCCGTACGAAATGGTAGACCTGAGGTTCACCAGCATCATCTACCCCTAGTGGAGATTGTGCGCACAGAGATAGCGGTGCAACTCCCGAACGGGTGTTTACTAACTGTGTAGGAGACATCAAACTCAAGAACGAACCCGGTCAACGCCTACGGTATGTGCGTCAAGGTTGAAGCATATTAAGTGAAGCGCCCCTTGGCTTCGCGAAAAAAAAAACGCACAAAATTCTTATCAAACACTCCCAATAGTGTCAAGCATCGAGCTAGGTAAAGATCAATGACGATCCTAGTGACCTTCTTTTCGTGCACAATCAGTCCAGGCTTAGTACAACAGAAAAATACGGACCCCTAAATAATGAACCTCATCAGGCAACACCGCATGACTTTTCCATTGTGCAGACGGTGTGGACAACATTTGATCGCCTAATACATCTCCATTACGGCCTCCAAAATTTCTGCTCTTCTTTGTGCATATGGATCCGCTTCTTCCGGTGTGGGTAGCTCGATGTGTGTATCGACCCATGCAAGCGCCCAAGCGCCATTCCCTGCCTTCGTTCCCCGAAGCATCTTCCGCTGTCCAACTTGTTCCCAATGACAGCGAGTAGGTTGCGTGTCTGTGCGATCTAGAGAAAAAGAAATTAAAAAAATAGGCAGGAACAGCAAAAAAGATATACATACAATGCACCAGTCCTGTGTGTGGCTCGTACACACCAAGCGGATACTGTGACTCCTCCGCTCTAGCTCTCTTCCTCTCCGCACCCTCCAGCTCCTCAGTTGCCCCTCGCTTATCCTCTCCTTCAGCCGCCAGCGATTCCTTCCCCTTTCCCTTGTCTAGTCCATCCCCAAGAATTCCACCACATGCGACCCTTGCCTCCCTTCTCATCCGCGCCCATTCCTCACCAGCATCCCCGACGCGTCTCGCAGTCTCCGACATCCAATTCTCTTCCGTGAGCCCCTCCCTTGTTAAGAGCGATTTGCGCACCGCGCTGTGTGGTCCATCACTAAACGGCCCCCAACCAGTGCTCCCGAAAATGGTTGTAGGCCCTCCCGCTCGATATATACCTGATGACGTCGAGGTGGCGGGCTGCGTGCCTGAAGGTGCGGATTGAGATGAGGCACCCAGGGGGTCCGGAAGCTCGCCGACGAGGTCGCCTGGCTTGAGTCCTTTTTCTGTGATTTCAGTAAGAGATTTCGCTTCGTAGTAGTCGTCTGTGATCCAGCGGCCCTCTGTAGCAAGAAATGATAAATTCAGGACGGATTCCATTTCAAAGAAAGAATAAGAGCGTACCTAGTATCAACTTGGCGCCATGAAGCTTATAGGCACTACGTGCGGTGACAAGGGTGACGCTGCGCGTTTTCAGGTGCGCACCGAGCTTCCCTGCGGCGATGAGGAACTCCTTTTCGGGTTGCGTTGCGGAGAGCTTGAGCGCGAGCGGATTGCGTCGGAAGAAGTACAGAGAATCACGAAACCCTGACGCACGCGCGGCGTCGATGGCGAGCATGTACTGCCGGCTTGGGTGCCGCTGGGGTAGCACGAAGGTATGACATTTAAACTTACGACCTGGAATGCCCCAAACACGGGTTAAAACAAGGTTGAGAGACAGAGCAGGTAGAAAGATAGTACACACCTCCTAGCAGATTGCCATCCGCATCAACCTTCTCGTCACCTTTCTCATCCGGGTCTGTGACGAACTCATCGCCGTCAATAAAGTATACCTTCCCCCCAACTCGCATGAATGGTCGCCCGTCCTGCTCCCCCTCCTCGGCTTCAGCTTCGTCAGCCTCTTCGCCGTCGCGCTTTGGTAGCCGAATAGTCAAAGCCCCACGACCCCGCCCTCGCCCTCGTCCCCTTCCTCTCCCGCGTCCTCTCGGGCGGCTGGGACCAGTGGGAGCAGCACCTCGACCTCTTCCACGCGGGCGTCCCCGGGGCCGAGGGAACGGTCGTGGCTCAACGCCTTCAAGCCCAGTCTCCTCCGCTCCGCTGCCTTCGCCTTCATCGCCTTCACCCTCGACAGCACCTTCTTCGGGTTCATCATCGCCAGGTTCATCTTCGTCAAGCACACCCTCTGAATCCTCTCTCTTGGTCTGGAGTTCGCCCTCTTCGATGGAGTCGTCGTCATCTTCATCTACAACAGACGGCGTAGCTGGCGTTGGCGCGAGGCGCGGTTTGAGAATGATCTTAGGAGTGGAAGTAGATGTGTTGGCCCGTTTCATTGTCAATTCGAGGGCCGGTTCTTAGTATTTGTGGAGTCAAGGGTGCAGCGATGCTAGTGATGATAGGAGAGATAGTTGGTAGACTCGACACTGAAGTTTGAAAGTTCGGAATCCTCAAGAGGGTGTGTGATTCCAAGACGCGTCGCGTATACTTAGTCTAAGTTATTCTCAGCTCATGTTGAATCATAAACTCATGCTCAACGACGATCTGTCACTCAATTTTGCAGGAACGAAATCGTTCCGAACAATACAATATATAACAAGAGCATGCAAAACGATTGGGAGAAAGCGATGTTTGATTCATTTGGTCAAGAGTACAATTCGCAACCTAGCAGCACCCCCAGCCACATGTCCAGCTGAGAAGAATCCGTCTCACTCCAACACTATTTGGCGCGCGGATGAAGGAGAACGGGGCGAGACCTGCCCGGCGTTAGCGCACCGCAGATTTTGTTGAGGCCTTAGCGGCACAGGCTCACTCTGCTTCGTCGTTTACTCTGTTGAATTATGATCAGAGAATGACGGAAAGTATATGAAATGAATACGAACTGGAACGGGCTCTCATCTTTCTGCGCTTGCGTCTGAGTCTACGGGAACGCTTTTTCTTCCACTTGTCTCTCATCCTGGCGGCACCCGAAGGTTAAATCGACAAACGGCAATAGAACTTAAAATGTAACATACCTGTTTGATGATGGACGTGTCTGAGGAGAACGCCTTGGAAGCGTGGGGTACTATCGGTGGGGCTTGATGGTACTGTACAGCTGCTTACTTAAGACAGTCTCATGGCTTGAGGTCACGTGCGGACGAATGGATGAAATAATTTGAAATTTCGACTTGATCTAAATTATGACTCAATGCCAACACAAGCATGAACATCGTATTATCTAATATCCAGAATAACAATTGGAAGGACTACGGACCAAGGGGAAATCGTAAAAATTGTGTTGGTACATGGACTATAGGAGCGAGTCGAGCGACAAGGGAATGCAGTTACAATATTTGGTACAGCGAGTGCCAATAGCAAGTACAGAGCATTAAATATGTCAAGTTAAAAACACAGTCGCTGCGAAAAAGCGCCATACATACTTATAATATGGCATCAAGGCTGATTACATCTTGCAAGGTGCCTTTTCCATAGATCGAGGCTCCGCATTGCATGTCGATGGTCGATCTTCACTCCCTATTCCGTAGGATGAGATACCGTCTTTGAGCGTAAGCTGGCATATATGGGCCTGCAAAGGCTGCAGTTTTCCTTGCTCCATCTCACTGGTTTTCCCTCCAGGGACAGTCGAGGGGTAACTGCGAGTGTGTCTAGCGATTGCGATGCGAATAAGTACCATGTAGAAGGCAATCGACATGATTGGTACAGCCTATTGGATTCAAGTTCAGTTTTTTTTAATGATAGATTTTAACAGCGGAATCACCAAGTCCACCAAAACAAGCTGTCCATTGTTCGAGCAGAGGAAACAGATTAGTGTGGTGACGAGTGTCACAGAATACAAAACAGCAGCATCCATGAGCACGCGCACTATCGGCATCATAGTGCTCTTCGTAGCGCGAATTGGAGAACAATCGCGTTCAATCTTCCAGATGCGATATGCCAGCAATCCTGAACACATTCAGCGCGTCTGGGCATTACGTTGACAGAAACATGCTTACCTGAACTCAAGAAATTAGTCGTCATAGTCAAGATTACGAACGCAGTGATCCACTGCCCAAGCGGTTTGGCGAAGATGACTTCAGAACTACTGGCTTGTGAAATAAAGTAATTCGCGGCAACACCGGTCACTTTGAGGCAACGTCAAAACACACGACTTCCTGAGAAATTGCGACCTTACCTACGGAGCCGCACCACAGCATGCTTGGTGCGATAATAACCCAAACGGATTGCCAAACGACATAACAGCGATAAATCTTTTACAACACAAGGCGCTTCTATGAGCCCAGAGGAATTTAAGCAGCAAGAAGGTAAACCCACCACCACCCCATCAGCAAGTAGAGTTTGCAAGAGGTATAACGCATGCTTAATCGCATATGATTTTTGGGTAATATCTCCGAAGAACCCGGCTGGCCCGCCTGGAAATGTGTCGCGATACTTCACCAGTCCATCTTCGGCACGAATGATGTCCACGACAATGTGCTTGAGAGAGGTCAGCAGGCGAAACCAGATGTAAGAGGGGAGAAGCTAACCGCGGTACTAATCATGAATAAGAGGATGGCCACCACAGCGATTGGGCGATTAACATCCTGGATGCGACATTTGTAGGTCAAAGCCCAAACGGTGCCCATAAACATGAGAGCCGAAAAGCCTAGAGAATTCTATCTTGGTGGACACGGGAAGGACGAACTCAGTGCGTACTCACCGTATAGCATGCATTCTAGCGACGTCGACAATACATTAGCGGAATCCAATGGGATGCCACTTGAAGTCATGATATGGTATCTGGGAGATCAGTGCGAAGATATGGGCATATTGAGCATTTTCATGCAGGTATCGTTATATAGATATCAGGAAACGGCTTGGGTTATCGTAACAGGCATTGCACCAAGCCATCCGAGTCCTGCCCACGGTGGGGCTCGTTGTCAGATCTCGTCGTAAGACCTCGACATATCATGATGGATTTCATCACGGATGGGCTGATGGTGGACGAAGAAGATCAATATAACATGATATCATACATAGTTCAGGAAATTAAGCTTTGATTCTCGAAATGCTGTCCCTGTGAATTGGAGTTGTTACTTACTTATTGGGTCGGCTCGGGGTTGAGTGAATAAGTTGTATCGAGACTCGAGAGTCAGTTCTCTGGAAATGAGTCGGACTCCCAAGGACACTACTTGAGTCCACCGAAGGACAAATGTTGTAGTGACGGCCTTGGACGAGTTACCTTGCTTGCAAGGTCGATAGTACTAGTAGTGTGCCACCAAAAACTAACACGCATCGCGTAATAATTTGAAAGCTGCTGTCAATGCCGTCGACGACGTGCTATGTCTGTCCCCATCAATGATCAATCTTATGAAAGCCGAACATGGCCATTTCCACGCACTAGCAGCATAGCCATTACGCCCGCGTAAAGCTTCAAAAGCACATACTGATATGATAGATACGGCAAACAATTGTACTGCTATGGGATTGATACATCACAACCAATGTGACTTATTTCTCGGCTCAGTGCTCAAGCGCTCACGGCTACGATGATGGTGTTTTGTTTGCTCGAATATGATTCCAGCTAGAAAAGCGAACAAACAAACCAATCAACTATCGTTTTAACTCAAGCAGAAAAGGGTATCGCACCCATTTGACTAGCTATCACTAGTACACCTAGTTTCCCGCAAAACATTGATCTTCGAAGTTGAAAGAAGAAAGACCTGGATGTTCGCGGTCTTGCGCGTCGATCAAAATTGATCATTACCATATATGGGAATTGACATCTTGCGGCTAAGCAGAATCAGCAGACACCCACCTGACATGTACATGCTACGGACACTATCAGCCAGCGCGACGAAACGGTTCGCCGTCTGCGAAATACGACCGTCCAGCTCTCTGCCATGTAGACGGTCCTTCAGCGTTTTTATTTCCACCCGTATCCCCTCAGCGCACGCTGCACAACATCCCCGAGCCGCGTCTCCAACCAGTCGCACACATGCTCTCTTCACGCGCTACTCCTCTTCCAATTCAGCAATATCTGACCCATCTCGCCCCGACCTCTTCTACCACCTCGTTTCGCTTCCTACGATCGGTTCAGCCTATGCAATTTCCTTCCTCACTCAACCACCCCCAACCCCCGATTCGTGCTCAGTAATGGGATGGCTGCCCGCAGAAACTGCAGGAGAAGGGGACGCGGAAGCCGGGCTCAATGATTTCGTAGAGAACCGTAAGTCACTTGCATCATATTATTCCACTCCTTCACGTACCCACTGACGGTCTACACAGCCAAGTTTCGCGCAATCATGCACAAGGCAATCCAAACTGGCCTACGAGAAAAAGTGGATGACATTTGGATGAACGGTGCACTGCAATTGCAACAAGGCTGGATGCATATACATGGTGTGTCATGTCTGTCAATTCTTTTACGTTCGACTAGAACCAAGCACAATGACAGACAGCCGCAACCTTCCAGCACTAGGCAGAATAGGCGACCCGGATGATATCATCGCCTCCGTGTTAGTGCAGGACAGCAAAGTAAGTTTTCATGACGTGATCTTACTGAGCACTGCTCATCAGGGCCTTAAAAGATTCTTCCCGAGACATACCAGCCTATGCCATCATATCGCCTTTGCACTTCTGATGGTCCGACACTTCTTACAGATGGCCTTGCAGCCAAGTTGAAGTCGGTACTACAGGAAGCCGTCGCCGGAGAAGCATCCCAGTGACGTCCCCTTGTGCCCGCGTCACCACCACCCTCAGCCGCAGAGGTTAAAAACTCATGTTCGCCTGGTGATCACTAGTGATCATGGACAACTAGTACTTATCACTCACATTATTCCACTTCCTACTGAACACTGCATATCATACTTGCATCTTCACATAGTCACACCCATATTAGCCAAACCCTCATGCATGCATGTCCTGCAGTTCGAAACTGAAAAGTGTGCCTCCATTTGCAAGTTTAATACAACGTGAGTCCAGCTCCAGAGAAGCAATACGATGAGATTACAAGATATGCGGCATAAATCATGGCATAGCACGAACACAATAAAAGCAGATGCGAGCAGTAGATATGGGAGAGGATAAACGATGAGCAAGATAAAGATAGGGAGCAAAGATGGTCGTTAGATGTCATCAAGATAGTTGTAAGATATGATGCATAGAATATGGTTTCAGGACTTTGTTTTGTAATAGTTCTTCACCGGTGGTATGAGCTGCGGGGTGAGCGAGGTCCAAAGAGACCAGGGCTGCCTTGGTCGGGCACAATCAGGTTAGGCTCAATCGATGGCGGCGTAGGTGCCATAGCAGGGTTTGCTAGTATCCATATCGTCAATTCACCCGCTTAAACGATGCAATAAAACCCGATACTCACGATGCCAGGTAGCCCAGGAATGCACAGGGGGCCTGATAGCTGCAGGACCAGGTTCAGGGGCCGGTGGTTGGTCGGGACGTTGCTTGCGAATGCGCCTGGTGTTACGTGGCATTGTGCGCCATGCTGGACGAGCATTTATAGGTTCGTCAGGAGGCGGGGGAGGTGCCTCGGGCGGTGGAGGCGCATCAGGTCCAGGCATCGGCGGTTTCCTGACAAATACATGAGAACGGCTCAAGTTGATGATCAAGGCGTCTTACCAGTCAGCATCAAACTCCCCTCCTGGTCCGTATTTAGCTCTCATCATCATTAGATATCCAAGTTCACTAGAAGAAACCGACGTTTAGACACATGAACAACACACTCAAACACGAACTCACTGTTGGATATTACGGCGCTCTTCACGAAGCTTGCCGACTTCTCCAAGGAGCATCCGGACCTCGGTCGCGAGTGCTTTGCTGAATTCATCAAGATACTAGAAACCGTCTTGTATGAACATTTTTCAAAAAAAAATGCACGGTTCACAGGCACTTACCACTTGCACATTGAATGGGACTTGCTCTCGGGCAGTAGCACGGACAGCTTCAAGGGTGTCTTCATGCCGCCGCTCGCCTTCAGCCCGCCAGTCTGTCAAAAGAAAGAGAATCAGCAAAGCACCACTCAAAGCCACGCCCACGACATACCCTCAGAAAGAGCTTGGAGCGCCTCCCTCATTTCGCTATTTTGCCGGGTAAGCTCATCGAGCACCACTTGAATGTCGGGCTTGCCCTCCTCTCGCTGCCTCCGCTCTTCCTCTTGAATTCGATCCGCCTCACGGTCTTGAATGAGCCTGGAGACCATATCCTTCAGTTCATGGAACTGCGCATCTTTCTCAGCACGCCTGCCCTGCTTCTCTTCCCATCGCTGATCCATAAGCTCCCTCTTCCTCGCACACTCATCCCGTTGCTCCGAAACTAACTGTGTGATATCGCCCAATTGCGCGCGCATGCCATCGTCACGTTCATTGGCAGCCGCCCGCTCCTCGTTCTCAGTCAGTCGTAGCTGCCTTTCACCGTCAAGCTCCCCACGAACGCGTGCAAGCTCTTCTTCCAGATCATGAACCCTTCGTTCGCGCTCTTCATCCATGCGAGCACGCTCGTCGGCAAACTCAGCACGTTCCCGCTCCCTCTCGGATGCAAAATACTCCCTTTCGCGATCAAATTGCTCGCGCTCGAGTTGAACTGTTTGCAAAATGTCCGAGGAATGACGAGTAGCTGCTTCCACAGAAGCTGCGTGAATCGATTCGATGATGGAAGCATTATCTCCAGATCCAGGTGGAGGGACCGGCAGAGGAGGTACACTGTGCGCCCTCTCTTCCAGCTGAGCAAATAGCGCATCACCGCGCTGTCTTGCCTCAGCCTCACGACGATCTTCGTTTTGGAGGAAGGCATGCTCTCTTTCGTCTTCATTGTGTCGGAACTCTTCTTCACGACGATTTTCAGCCTCATGAGCCTCATGAACAACTTGAGTGAGTTCGCGCTCTGCTTCATCCAGTCGTTGATGCCGTTGTTGGAGGGCATCATCAAACCCGGTAGTCGCTGGGTCAAAGTGCACATGATCACTAGGAGCATGACCCGGCGGTAGGCCATGATCATGACTAGGAGTGTGACCTGGTGGTAGGACATGAACCATCTCGCTCTGTGAGTGGACATCATCATCATCCCGCATAGATGGTGGCACGCCTCCTGCGTGCGATCCTGCGCGTGACGGAACTCGCGAAGCACTACGTTGTCCATGTGGGTCAGCTTCGTCATCTGGAACTCGCGAAGCACCGCGACGTGTATGTGGGTCAGCTGCGTCACCCATTGCAGTCGGTGTTCGACGATGCCGTCCAGCATCGTCTTCCGTTGTAAGAGGCGGTCGATGGTATGGCTGTCTGTCGTCGTGTTCCATTGGGGTTTGATGGTGTGGCCGTCCATCATCGTCCATTGCGGAAGGCGTGTGATGGTGTAGTCTATCATCGTGACCCATTGCAGAAGGCGTGCGATGATGCGACCGTCCGTCGTGGTCCATTGGGGAGTGTGTTCGATGGTGCGACCGTCCAGCGTCATCATCCCATTCAGGTGTCCGACGATGTGATCGTGATCGTCCAGCGTCGTCATCCCTTTCAGAAGGTGTCCGACGATGTGATCGTGATCGTCCAGCGTCGTCATCCCTTTCAGAAGGTGTCCGACGATGTGATTGTGATCGTCCAGCGTCGTCATCCCTTTCAGGTGTCCGACGATGTGATCGTCCAGCATCGTCCTCCCTTTCAGAAGGGGTTCGACGATGTGATCGTCCAGCATCGTCATCCCTTTCAGTTCGAGGATGTGACCGCCCAGCTTCGGAATGTACAGTTGGAACGTACACACCTGTGAGGTTTATCAGAGTAAGCCCACACGCATGTTAACCCACGTACCTGGTTGTACTCCCGGAGTCACGATCACAGGTCCGCTATGCGATCCAGGGTGCTGCCTTGGTTCATCAAGCCTGATGATAGTTGGCTGACTGGGCGATCGAGGAGGATCCTCAAACCGCGGAGAAACAGGGATACTATGACTAGGTACATGTCCTCCTGTAAAATGAGTAGGGATGCTATGACTAGGTACATGTCCTCCTGTAAAATGAGTAGGGGTTCTGGAGGCAGTTCTGTGAGGCCGTGAGTGTGAGTGGTCGTCTTCGTCAGAACTGGGACGGCTGTGACGAGGACGACGAGGGGAGTGATCGCCTCTCCCGCGTCTGCGTTCTGCGTCTCCTTCTTCGGTTGGAGAGGGTGAATTGGAGTCTCCGTGACGATGTGGGCGGTGACGGCGGTCATCATCTCTATGTCTTTCGCCTCGTCGTGGCGGTGGCGACCGCGAGTAATCATCGTACCGCCCTCCCCGTCGATGGCGGTCCCCGGGAAAGTAGTCGTCATAATAAGGGCGACGGGGGTAATATTCAGGTGAGTAGCGTCGACGGTCATATCCACGTCTTGGGTAATATTCAGGAGAGTCAGGGTGTCGGCCTCGTCGATCATAACGATCGTAGTATGGATCTCTGTGTCCACGAGGTGATCGAGACCGAGATCGTGAACGATCAACTTGTGCCACGGTACCAGGCACCACGACTACTGGCGGACCACCCGATCCAGCAACACCAACAGGAAAGTCATGACGAGTGGGAGGTCTGTCGACATATTGAATGTGATCTGGCGACGGCAATACGACAGGGGTGGACGGATGACCATGAGGACTTGTCGGTATCACCACTACGTCTCTTGATCTCCCGGAACTGGAACTGGACCTAGACCTGGGTGGGTGAACTATCACGGGAGGACCTCCAGGGCCGTACGTGCCTGGCGGTGGTATCCCAGCGGGTCCATACTGAGAGGGCTGCATGGGCGCTAGTCCATACTGAAAGGGCTGCGATGGCGGAGGCTGATCTGCCACGCCTACTTGAGGGGGGGGTGCGGCAGGCTGTTGTGGAGGCATGTTGATATTGATAGTCTGAGGCGGAGGGCTACCATGACTGTGTGGATGCTCCTCTGAATGTACAACGATAGGGATATCTCCTTGGTGACCGCCCTCCGGATCGTGATGTACATGGTGTGAGCGAGGTGAGTGAGGTTGTTGCGCATAAGTATGTTGGGTATTCGAGCTAGCCTCACTCCTTCCTTCATCACTGTGTTGAGCATCACTGTGTTCAACTATGATTGTGGGATGTTCGATCCTGACTGGCCTCCCGTATTCATTGTCGCTAGACTCTGAAGGAGGCCTTGTAGGAATGACTCCTTCATCATCGTCGTGAGGGCGATGCTCGTACTGAGCGGGGTGCATTCGTTGGGGGAAATCATCATAAGCATCCGGGATTACTGGTCCTTGACCTGGACCGTAATGCTGAGGTTGTGGCATGCCCTGCCTGCGCCATTGAGGTTCATCGGGTATGAAAGGAGTATATTGGCCTGGCTGAGGAGAACCTTCATAGGTGGGGATGACAGGAGGCTCTGGGGCCGGTTGAGGAACGAATCCAAGAGGAGGACCAAGAATATGTGGAGGTGGGACGGGTCCAACGGGAATCACTCCATGGGGAATTTGAGGTTGCGGCATTTGCATGGCTAGGAAGACCAAGTCAGCATCCGTAAACCAGCAGTAACGTCTACTTACTTGGGTGCACACCTGGTTGCACACCTGGTTGCACGCCGGGCTGCATCCCTAATCCCAGTCGTGCAAGGTCGTTTCTGAGTTCATCGACACGAGCGGTCACCCCCCGTAACTCTGCTTGACGGTCCTGGACGTCCCTTTCGAGCCATTCATTCAGGCCTCGCATGTACCTCATCAATTCTCGTTGTTGATCCACAGTCGCCAGTTGCGCGAGACGATGTTCCTAACGCAAAACAAATCAGCGTCCCAACAGTGTATAAATAGCGTGACTTACTCGAAGGATGTTCATCAATGTATCAAAAAGTGGCAATTGCACTACGGTCTAGGGGAGAACAATCAGAACCTCAAAAATCATATCCCAAGATTTACTTACTGGTCCCGGAGGCATTGGCACGTATTGGCGACCACCTTGTTGGCCAGGGATAACAGGCGGAGGAGGCATGCCCTACAGAATTACAAAGGTTACATCATTGCTATCACATCTGTGAAAAACGTACCGAGCCATCTGCTCTCCGAGGACGGTACCAGGTTTGATGATCGCGAGTGTCGTCATTGGGTTCAAGGTTAGCAGGCGCGCTCGGAGGTCTTCCGAGCCAGGGGATCTAATTGGAAGGTTAGTATTTATTGGATTCGCTCAACAGCAATACTCACAGGCTGAGGAGGAGGAATATTAGTAGGCGGGCGTGGACGTGCGGGATCGGAAAAAACTCCGGGTGGTGGTGGTGCCGTCCCAACAGGTTGGGGAATACGTGGCCCAGGTGCGCCTGAAAATACTGTCTCAGTCTCAGTTGCAGGTGGGTTGCGCGGTCTTCGACCGCCACGTGGAATACGATGAACACCAGGGAAAGGTGCGTGTGGAGTCTCGGGCGAGAACACCACCGGCTCTGTAGCAATCGGATACGTCGCAGGCCGTGCTATGGGACTGGTACTCCTGGACCTTGGAGGACGTGCCGCAGGTTGGTAAGCAAAGGGGATCAATGCTGGAGGCGGCTGGACTCCTATAGGCACTTGAGGCGGAGGTGCCTGCAATAACGCAAGCAGTTCATCGTCAAGATTTCCACGAGCTCTGCGTGGCTGGGGTGCAGCAAGAGGAATACGGTCCCTCAGGAGCCGCGTCCAGTCCTGCCAGCGCTGCTGGAAATCCTCTGCATCCGGATCAGTACCAACGTCAGAAATAGACTCTGATGGGGGCTGGATGGGGACTGGTCGTTCAGTCTCGACCCGTCTATCGATGAGTTGACGCAAAAGAACCTCGATGGCCTGAAGCCGCTCGTTGAACTCTGTGGTGTCCAGAGGACCTACGCGTGTCTCGCGCAACTCGTCCAACATATGATTTGTAGACACCTGGCCCTCCCAAAGCGCGGTCGTCTGCTCTCTCAACGAGGTCAGCATGTCTCTTAGCGTCTCGATTGTAATGCTATCGCGCTGCCGCACAGTGGCGGCTGACGCTGTCGAAGGTGTTGGTGACGAAGGTGTCGGTGACGAAGGTGGAGGAGTGGGTGTTGACGAAGATGTCGCCGACAAGCTGGGACCAGGGGAAGGGTCGCTGGAAGAAATCTCAGATGGAGTGACCGAGGACGATGATGAGGAGGAGGGCCAAGATGGCTCCCCAGAGATTAAATGTGAGCGTTCCATAGTCTCTGCTTCCAACTCCGTTTCCAACAGACTCAAGTCATCATCCGAGTGATGCGAAGACAAGAACGACATGACTGAGTTGACAGAACTCGGGGAAGATGGGTGCATAGGGGGTGGAGACATCTCGACAAGGGTAATACCCGGCCTCGGGCGCGGTCCTCTAGGTGTCGAGAGCACACTGCTGCCCCCGACAGACGTGTCTCTGGTTGGCACAGGTGGCGGTCTCTCCACGACGAGGTTCGTACGGACGTACTCCGATAAATCATACAGTTCGTCCCGGATAGCACGTACATTCTCTGCGATTTCCTGCGTTTCCTCGCCTCGGAACTGGTCGATCTCTTGGATATGGTGAAGAAGACGGTCAATATCGTGCGTGATGGTTTGCTCAGTGTGTGTGCGCGTGTGTTCCGTCTCAAGGACAGAATGTATGGAAGGAACATCATCATGAGGTGTCGTCACACTGACGCTCATCGACACCGAAGTAGGGGCAGGGGATACCGGGAGAGGCACAGCCCACGGGGAGGGTATTGGCATCTATAACAAAAGATTCAATACACCACATCAGTATTTCAACCAGAATGCGATGAAGAACTACCCACATATCGCACTGACTCCTGACTTCTCGTCGACAGCAAGGACGGAACTGTCGAAATGTCACTGGCAGCTCTCACACTCACTACATCTTCTTCCTCTGCCTCAACGGCAATGCTCGACACACCGCTCACGGTAGATGCGGTCCTTGATAGCGAACTCGATGCGCTCGTCGACATCGTCAGCGGAGTCGGTCCACTGGATGGCGAAGACACCAACTCTGGTTGATGAAACATCTGTCTAGGAGACGGTGTAAGAGAAGAAATAGTCTCTGTGATAGGTGTCAGCCTAGCAATACTGCTCAGCGGCGATACACTCGGGCGCATAAACGACGTCTCAAAGCTGCCATCGATACCCTCCTGCAATACGACGCTCTGCACACTAGGGGTGGGCTGCAATGCAGACGAATCAAACGACACGTCCGTCTCAGAAGGCCATTGAGACGGGTGCACAGATGGAGTGACTGCCTCCTCATCAGGCTCAGATATCGAGAGAGCTGTAGTTTGTACGGTCCGAGGTGTCGCGCTGACGAAGGGCTCTGTCGACTCTGTCAAAGTCGAGACAGACGTGTCAAGTTCTGGTTGTGCGGGGCTCAGATCGCTCTCGGTGTATGATAATGACGAGTCGGTGTGGAAACTGACAATGGGCGTCGGTGTCTCGGGCACCTCTGTAGTAGGTGGGGCACTCTCCAGCAGGCTGTCATCCTCTGCGAACTCTTCCAGCGCAGTGACAGCCTCAGGCGTGATCGATACCTCCAGCCTCGGTTCCTCAGAGACAATACTGGGAACTTCGCTCGGTGTCTTTGGGGGAGGTGTGGGTGGCAGATCTACTTCCACCTCCTCATCCTCGAAGTCAATGGGCTCGTCAACGTGCTGGTGAACGGTCTCGCGAACGGTCTCGTGAACCGCCTCGCGAATGGTCTCGTGAATGGCCTCGTGAATGGTCTCGTGAACGACCTCGTGAATGGTCTCGCGGACGGGCTCGCGGACGATCACACGAATGGGCCCAGGAATGGGTTCCTCGCGAATGGGCTCTTCAATGGGCTCTTCAGCAGGAAGTTCTACAGCCAATCCTGACCTCGGTGTACTCAACCCCTCTTCGCTCGGGATCGTAAGACATACGCTTGCCGTCTCATACTGCGTCTCCTCCTTGTCACTCTTGCACACTTCCGCCGTCCAGAAATCCGTTTCGGTCTCGGTCTTGCATTTCTCCGCTGTCACATACTCTGTCTCCACGTCACTCATGCACCGCTCTGCAGTTACGAACTCCGAGCTCACGCACGTCTTGCATGTGTCCAATGTCTGATAGTCCGACTCGCTTGGGATCGTTGGAAGGCTCTTGAATGACGCAGTGCTCGGGCTAGGCGACGCATAGGCTGTGGTGTATCCCTCACTCCCACTACTGTCCCTCTCCTCCACCGCCAAAAATGCTTCCGTTGTCGTGGTGGGTGTCCTGCTCCTTGTCCACCCGCTCAGCGTTGACCTCGTCGTCGCAGAGTTCTCCCTATCAGACGGCTCCTCGCTCGTAGAATATGCACCATACCGCCGTCTCCGAACTTCAGGGGTACGAGATAGGGACGGTGAGGTGGGGGTGACGGCGTAACTACCACTCGTATAGGTGTATGGCGTGCTGCTCGTATACCCACTGGAGGAGTAGGTGTACGGCGTTCTAGACCGGCTGTCGCTCGACGAGTACGGTGTTCGCGAACGCCCATCGCTAGATGTGTATGGCGTATAGCTCCCACTGCCATCATGCGAGTCCCCAAGGTAAGAGTTACTCTCCGTGCGTCTGTAGCTCAGCGTGCTCGGCACGATCTGCGTATTCGACTCGCCGCTCGTGAAATCAAATGCTGTTCCATCCGTTACTAAGCCGGTCGTTGTCCGGCCATCGCCACTCCTGCTTGTCCTGGAGCTGTCTGCAGAGAAAAAGTCGGATACGGGACGAGAGTCAAGCGCGCTGGACGTGCGCGAGCCGGCACTGAAGAATTCCTCCTCACTGACACTGAGGGCTCGATTCCTGATCTTCCCAGTGGGAGGCGGGGTGACACGAACATCGCCCCCCAATCTCGGGCCACTGCTCACCGTCACTGGGCTTCCCCCACCCACGCCCAGTATGCCGCCACTTTCCGAACTCAAACTTTCGTTGACCAAGCTCAAGCCAAAGCCTAGACCAGGCTTGGCAGAACGAGCACGCGACACGGCACTAGCGAACTCCTCGTCGAGGTCTGTGAGGGATGAGGTGCGGCGCAAGGATGAAGATCGGGATGGAGCGATGATACGCGGGTCAGAGGGGTAAAGGTACGACATGTCATCTGTGGTCCTGGTGCGCTGGCCACCTGCACTCAGACTTAACCCCCCAGAATCGCTCCCCAGATCCGACAGACTCGGGATCGTATGCAGCGGAGGTACAAACACAGTACTCCTGCTTCCGGCAGATGTGGAAGTGGTAGAGGCTATGGAACGGATGGTGCCTATGCTGCCTGTAGGCGAACCGGATTCGGAGCGATTGGGGAGTGACAAGGAACGGTCCAGTGCTTCCCTGTTTACATATCATCATGTACGGTAAGGGGACACATCAGAATTAACCAAATTTAAGTATAACACGAATTACTCACCAAACCGCGCTCACCCACCTCACCCTCTCCCTCGCACTCTCCGCCGCAAGTCGCTCAACACCATCACCATATAACAGCTGGAACGGACACAACACTTCCACGAGACTCACGCCGTCGTCGGTCACCTACCGATATGTTCCATATCAGCGTTCTACGGCTTTCATCACCACAACAGAGCACGTACCTGCGCTGCTGCACTCACTCCCCCGACATCACCTCTCGCTCCAGGATGTGTAAAGCCAGGGGTACTCCTCACTTCTGTACAATTGATCAGATCCAAGCTCACTACGCCCCGGCCTCCCCCAGGGGCACTCCAAGAAAGAATAAGCACGTGCGGGTAGAGCAGTGCAGAGCATTTTTCCCAGCGATAAGGTGTTGGGGAGTGAACATTCAGATACCAGAGGGTGCCAATGCGGATGGGCTGCGTATGAGGGATATGGTTGGAAATGAACTTGAGGCCAAAAATAGAATTGTGCATACCTCCCGGTTCTCTCGCCCCCCCAGATCCGTCATATCAAAAGGCGGAGGTATAAGGCTGTTCGTAGAGCTCACTCTCCTCCTCATTACATTGTTTCCACTGCCCGCATTTGCTTCGTTTTCCCTGTTCTTGTTGTCGCCTCCATGCACATTGCCCCTTCCAGCGTTCCTATCAGGTGTTGCTGGCAGCTGGCTTCGCGGCCCCTGACGTGATGCGCGTCTACGAAGAGAGAACAGACCCTCCGTCTACGCCCCTCAGCACGCGTGTACCCCAACTTGCCATGTCACACGCACCTTTGGTACCGCCGGCGGAGACAACTCGCTCCCACCTTCACTGCTCTCACTCCTCACTTTTCCTAGCCCTGGCGTGCGTTCCTTCCACGCAGCTACAATGTTCCGCACGCTCGTCAACGGACTCCTGGGGCTCGTGTTGGTGTCGTTCAGAGGGGCGGTGCTGCGACGCAAGGCAGTCTGGGTCTGAGTCTGGCGCGTGGGTGTAATATCATCCTGTTTGCCTAGGTCGAGAAGAGAGTCAGCACGAAGAAGGGAGTGAAGGTAAGGTTAGAAGAGGCATTGACACACGCACCCCTAGCAACCCCAAATGCACTCGAAAACGTACTCGCAAAATCGCTTGGGCTTAGCTGTGTCCTCCCTGTCCCTGTCGCCGTCCCGCCGGCGCTGTACGTCCTGGTAGGTGTGCCAAACCCGCGGACCGGTGGACTTAGCAAACTCGATAAGCTGAGGTCGGTCCCACCTCCACCTGAAGAAGTCGAGACTGTGGAGCGTGAATCATCGGACCTGCTTTTAGTGGGAGAGGAGGGGCGGGACGTGGTGTAGCCCGTAGTGGTATATCCGCCTGTCCCCGTCCCTGTAGTATATCCATATCCAGTCGAAGTGAATCCTGTGGTATAGCCGTATCCAGTTGAGGTGTACCCCGTGGTACTCCCTAAATGCGGCGTGCTCTGGGTGGTAGGTAAAAATGGGCTGGTAGTTCTCTCCTTTTCCTTGCTGGGGGTACCTGAACGGTCCTCGAAGAATGCAATAAGGTCACCCGTGCGACGGCTGGTTGTGGGCAGATCTGGGGTACCACGCGTATGTCCTTGGGAGTGCGTGCTGAGTCTGTTAGCAGGGGCTTCAGTAGCCAGCCGAGCATGCGAGTTGGAGATTGCGCTTAGGCGGTGTGCAGAAAGACGGTTCTGGGCATAGGAAGTCGGCCGGCTGGGGTTCTCGGTGCGTTCTGAGATTGTGCTCAGGACGCGGGGGTCGCGTGTGACATAGGTTCCTGTTGCTGTTGCCGTGTCTGCCGAGTACGAAGCGGAAGTGCCAGTGTAGGACCCTGTACCACTGTACGGAGTAGATGTACTGAATGATGTGTAGGACGGCCGGGAAGAAGACCATTGGGAGACGGCATCCTGAGTAGCATTAATCTCAGCGTCAAGGTCGAGCTCGGTGAGAGCTGCTTCGACTTCAGCGCGTTCTGCGAAACTGTCGTCGTAACCGTGACCTTCGAAGCTGTTTTCAGAGCGGGGAGGACTGAATGCAACGCGTCGGAGGAGGCCTGGGGAGGCGGATGAATCTGTGGATGCGCGGGGGGTATCTATGTGTATAAATTTGGTGAATTCGAAATTGGTAAGGACAGCTAACATGCCACCGACCAGAACCAGAGTCATTCGAGGCAGACGAATACGTCGTCGTGCCATAATAACCTGGGGAGCGCGGGTCGAAGCTCGACATCGCCCGCGTCTGTGCTGTTAATTGTCAGTTCTAGATTGCAGCCGTCGTCGTTCTCACTGTCAAAAGGTCAGTACAGATATCAGCATTCGGAAAGCACAAAGCACGTATTCAACAATCGTCAAACCAACTCAAATTCAGGGCAGGCATAGTCGCGACCGTGTTTGGTCACGTGTGTGTTTGCAACTGGCACCGTTACCACGCACGGTCACAGCTGGTCACAGTCATCAGAGGTTCTTAGTATTCCTTTTGATGATTTGCGATTGTGCCTTGGGGGTATCCATTTTGTCTCAGGATAGAACAGTACTATATGCCTCATTCTAGGGTGTATGACTACAGACTAGCAGAGGACTTATTTTACCCCAGCATTTTGCGTCAACATTCAATAATATAATCAAATGGTGATGACGACAGATTGGAAATCTGTCCACCCGCCAGCTCCCCAATATTGCATATGTTGGTGTTTAGACAAAAAAAATTGAATAAATATTGGTTTTGCTTCATTGATGGAGTCGTTGTAACTGGCTTGACACAAAGTAGCACATAAAAACTGGTCATGGGATTTCTGAAAATCACATATATGCTATTCTTTAATCGTGCTAATTTCATGTTTGAGCCGTATGCGTTCTACGCATCTAGAATACATAAATAAGTTGGGTTGCTCTGAACTACCTACACAGTAGAATTAAGTTCAAGATCGTACTTCCCTTCCCTTAGAACACTTCCGGCCCGCAGAAGTCATAAATAACACCGATAAAAAAGGGGCCACAGGCTCTTTTTATTACGGGAATGCGAGTGAGCGCACCGCAGTAATCCAGGTCGCTATAGCGTCAGGAAACTTGACACCACACGACGCATTAGCAACATTCGCCAGACAGGTTTACTTAGCTTACCTGGCACACCATGACGCCAGCATCTAGAAAACATGGTTAACCGCTGCTGACAAGCACATGGTATATTGAACGCACACCATCCTTGTTGAACGGCGGTGTCCAAACACTGGGCGAGTAGGGAGGTACTCATGTAGCCATTGCTCGCATCTATACTGGTGGCTGGCTTGCCGATCACCAGCTTGTCTAAAGGTATTCCTCCTGCTGCTATCTGGAAGAGTGCAGTGTTTGGCCACATTGAAGATGATGTCGTAATGAGGCCATCACACGTTGTGTACTCAGACGTGCCCTCTAGTATAGCTGGTCAATAACAAGTAAAGCGACACCACTGCATGGCTCACGATTGTAGAACTGCATTGAATCGGGAAAGATGAATTGGTATCATGAAAGCATCATGGGTCAAAAGACGCTTGCCTGAACATTGTACTAAGGTGGTAAATGAGCTTGCAATCATTTCATACGATTTTCTAACGTACCCAATCAATTAACAATCCGACATTCTCATGGACCATCAAATAAGCACCGCTGGCGTATCTTGTGGAGAACCTGTTCACAAAAAGGTTAACCCGGTTTACATAAATACGATTAGTTCCATTTACCATGGAGCGACAGCTGATAAAGGTCAAGATGCTAGTCAGGCCCAATCGCTGGATTTTGAGGCAGACTTACGTGCGTGGGTTAAAATGTATTGACCTACGGACACAATCAGTGCGTTCCTCTCATTTATGACGCTGCTGGTACACTTACCTTGCGGAAGCCTTTCACGAAGGGCTATGGTAAAAGCGACCAGCCAGATTTCTGCAGATCCATTCTCAGCATCCATGGCATATAAATCCTGTTGCAAAGCCAGCGTTCAGACGTAAACTGAATCGTGTTGAGAGATACCTACTTCGTAGTCAACATCGACACCGTCAAGATCATATTCCAACACATAGTCTGCGAGCTTATTAGCGATCGTCGTAGGATCACATCCCTCAGTGGTAGGGACATCCGTGGAGCCGAAAGCGGATACAATGAGAGAAATTCCGGCATTATTGTATGATGTCTTGATAGATGCTCGTGTGGTTTCGTCAAGCAATGTCCACTCTTCAGCTTGATCAGCCGGGCCGGAGACAAGCCAGAACGAGAGGGCACTGAAGAAAATGATATTACGAAACACCCATGTTTGTCCCCCAATGCTCACAAGACGTTATACCCCTGATTTCCAACAACAGAGAAGGCATCAATACCTGCTAGTAAATCTTAGGCGGGTACATACTGTGATACTACTGACGGGTGGAGGACCAGTCTCCCCGGGGACCCACTTGTCGCTGTAAATGACGAAGTGAGGGGCTGCAGGCGTTGCACGAGCCGAAATCGTCGCATTCATAAGAGGCATAAGAGGCATAGACCACACCCCGCCGATGGCTACTAAGACAGTGACAATACTCAAGAGCATGAAAGATACCATGATGAATCACCGGAGGTGATATCAATGACGAATCTGCCATTGGTGGGCATTTATACCTTACCCCCACAACCCTCATTCCAGGTATGGTGCATCATTATGTGACCTTAATGCCATCACACCACGGATCGGATCACAAACAGCAGACACGGATTTTCTGCTGTCAAAATGGAATGCCACCGTCCGTTGTTCTTCCGAGAGATCCCGTGCATATGGCAGGATGACTGGCGTGCAAAAATCGGATAAGTCGAAGAATCGTTGCGTGCGATTCCACCCTCTAAAAGGGATCCACGCAGTTCTGTGCCTACCCAGGTTAAAAAGAACGATGAGAGTGTCCAGAAAGGGATGATAGGACTTGGAACCGGATAGTACTGCCAGCTGGCAACTGCATCTTAATGACGAAGAGTGGTGAATGACGAAAAAAGTATGGGGTAGGTTCTCAAGCCGATCGGACGTACACAGTCCGGTTGCACATGCACAGGCGCTCAGCTAGATCTGGCTGCACATAATTCGTGCGCAGCTGCCCTCTGCTGGCAAAATATGCGGCACCTGTACATCCCAAAACTTGATAGTCCAGAGTCTCCCCTAGTCAGACCATATAGAATGAAGACAGTGGTTCCTTGTTGATAATTGCCTGCTTTCGGTGCCGCCCTCGATACTACTTGTCGGGGCTAGTCTCGCACTCAGGCGTTGTGGGTGAGTTATGAGAGGAGATTCCCAAATGGACGACACCGAAAAGAAACATGGAACTTGATCCATTTGGTACATCTGACCAGACGTTGACGTAGTCACCCGATAGGGGCACTGCACGTGCGTGCCCAGTGATATAAAGTCCACAAGGCGATAACCATCATATTTGGGGATGGGGCAATGCCCTTTCGAGTTGAACAGCATAGTCTTTCTCTGAAAGGGGCCAATCACGAACCAATTCGTCTTCTTCCAGCACTCTCCAATTGGGCGATGGTGTGGCGCGAATGTGCGAGAAATCCTGGGGTAAGAAAGGTAATTCGGTATGTTTTTTGGTGACCAGAGGTTGCTGTTCAGTGGTGGTCTATTTTGAAGTCGGCATTTTCAAGCGATTAGTCGAAAAAGAACGGACCTTCAACTCGGTCGGGTACGCGCCGAACCTCACTTGATCACAGCTTTCGATGATTGGATTCGACGTAATGTCAAGATAGGCATCTACGGCAGTAGAGTTGTGCATCCTGAACTGCGAGTCGTGAGCACAGTAGAGGGTAACATACATGGACAATATAACCATACCTGGTGACATCCAGCAACAACCACGCAATTTGTCAAGTTGTGTAACATAATGCTTCCATCGACGGTCCCCAGAATAAGAATTGAATTCTGTATGTCGCGGATGTGAAGCGCCGAGAGTGAAATAGTATTAGCAGACAGAGTTGACTCATTCTTGGTCGTAAGAAGATTTAAGATGCTACTCGATATTCTTATTATAGACACCTCTACGTGATCTGTGGATGAGCTGGTGCCGCAAAGGCACGATCTAGAGAGATAGCAATTGGAGTGATCGGATATCGTTCTGGAGGTACTAGATATTATTGCTGCAGGTATTGCCGGTGCAATCGCCGAAGCAGGTGGTGTCGCGGTCTCTGATGAAGCTGATGCTGACGCTGGTATCTTAGCCTTCCGTTTGAATGCGAATTTCGTTTTCCCTGCGGTCGATGAGCGTAATTCCTCGAGCGACTTTTCTAACGCTTTGAGTTGCTTTTCGATTTCGTTAGCTCTGACATCAAAATCAGACACAGGGCACACACCAGTTCATTTTGTCTTTGATCATAGCTTGGAAGCCTCCCCGTAGCTTCAGTCAAACGTTTGTTGAGAGCTTGTATTTCTCCAGCGATGAAGTGCACAGAATCTGCATTTGCAACTTTGAGACGAGAGGCAAGTTCTGTGGACTATAATGGCGTCGGTGAGACTTGTGTAAAGGCGAAGGACTTTACCAGAACAAGACGCTTGGAAAGAGGATGTAAATGCTTGAGAAAACGTCCAGGTTGCTTCTAAACCGTCAGCAGATATCATGGTAGTCAAATGGAACCAGGCCGACAACGAGCCCTTGCCAAATTGTTGAAATGATATCGATCAAGGTATGTAATCGAGTCTTCCCATACTACTAGTACGTACATAGCCAAGGCCCAATATGGTGTTGCCGTGCCCATAACATCATTTGCTCTTTCTCCTTACACTCATGTACTTCACCCGGCTGGTCTTCAATCGCAACGAGTGAAAGACAAGCTTGTGCCATCCATGACTGAGTTCATGCTAGTGTCAGCCACAACCGTGACCATCCTGAAGAATTCGTTCCTCCCATCATTGCCGAATCCACCGAGCGCTGCATCAACTTGACTCGTTCTTTTCGAATTCGGCCAAGACTGGCATTTCTCTCTTTTCTATCTCCGGAGCCACACGCCATTTCGTCACAATGATTATCAATGGCGAACGGAGCGTCCAGGATTAGCTTCCAACAAATCACGCTAGAATCATGATTGAATCAACTGCCCAGCAGAGACAGTATCTGGCATGCTGTTTCTGGCTATTCGGCAGTGCCCAATTACGCATTGCTGTGCATAACTCTCCCTATGTAAGTAACAAGTACCACACGCCGTATAGTGCCCGTCCCAGATTCCTCCCATTTCGCATTTCCCTTTGTGCTCGATACGATATCTGTTTCATGTCCACCGAACAATCAGAGAGCTGTCTGGCTGTATTATGCATCTCCTGCTGTAGGTCAAGTCGTTTCAATCGTGCATCTGCATTAATTGTGAACCAATAATTAGGTGTGATTTTCACGACTTCACTCCAACAATGGTGTAATATCCGTGAGGCTTCACAATTTGTGTCGTTGATAGCAGTCACTGATCTTAGGCACAACTTACATTTTATAGATGCAGTTGGTGCTGATTGCAAATGTTGTGGTGGCCCACGCGGGTGCTGTTATAGTTGTTTCGAGTCCTCCTTGAACGAGGACAATTTTGAGAAACAGCTCAGGGAAGATACGGAACGCAGAGAGGCCGCCGCTCGACGACTTGTTGATGCTCAGCCTGCGCCAACTGAAGACATGAACACAGGAAGCTCCACAGATAAGTCAACCCCGTTGAAATAAGCGTAAGGCAGTCCTGGTTATCATCCTCTGCAAATATCCGAGACTGATGCCGTTGCAGCCCCACGGTGACATCGTGACGAGTATTGTAGCATTGAAAGTTGTGTACGTTCAATAGGATGACAGTCCATAAACTTGCAGGTTCGAAGAAGTTCGAACCTTCCTCTCTCATTCTATGATGACGATTTGCGTATCGCCCTTGGTACATTCAACGCGATCATCTGGCTGGGGTAAATTAGAGGCAACGGAATACTTATCGGCAATATTGACCTATATATATATATACGAGCACTGCCCTCAATCCCTTCCACACCGTCACCTTCGCATTTTGTTCATCACTTTACATTTATCATTCATGTCAGACGCAGGAAGTTGTTTAGGTTATCTATGCGGAGGCTGCTGTACGCCAAAATGTGTTCCGCCAATCCGAATCCATTGACCAAGATGTTTACACAGGCATCGTGCTGACAACTGCTCTGGGAACTTGGTGTAACACAAGTTCGTTCTTACTAGTTCCTTGTGGATTTCTAACCAAGTTCATTAATTGAACAGATGTGTTTGGCGCTAACGCCAAATGCTGCGGTTCGCGAAGATGTTGCGGAGGTTGTTGCCAGGAATCTTTTGATGAAGATAATTTCGACGAGCAAATGAAAAAGGAGATGGAGCGGACGAGAGATACCAGGCATCCTGTTGAAACTCAGCCCGGGCCATCTGGTAGTATGACCGCAAACATGAAGGAGGGCGTGCGCATGAAAAATTTGAATGGACCGGTCTAACGATATTTCACCAGCACCACAGCATGGATTCGGAAGGTGTAAGCAAACATTGCCTGCTTCCGTCGCGAGCAAGATACAGGCGTGCTGATGGTTTAAACAGCTTGCGGGTGTATTTGAGTGCGATGTGTTGAACCTGGGAATGTTGGAATTTCGGATACACAATGTGTGGTTGTATTTGCACAGTGTGGCTAATTAGGATTAAGGCTCTACACACCGCCGACTGGTTTGGAGTCTGCGATTTTCCATGCACCTATAGTATATACTACAACTTTCCTGTACACACGAGAAAGCACGTTCGTCAACGATGTTAGCAGCAGAAAAAAATACGGCCCTTTGCGTTATCTACATTACCATGATGGGAAAGTTTCTCCCAGCCAAACATCATGGAACATTGCAAACGGGCGCTAGACTCAAGGATCAATACTTCAGTACTTCAAGCTTCAGTACCCAAATCCATCAAATAACAACACTCATCTATTGCAATGGGACCGCAAAAAAATGATGTACGTGATCCATCTGGACCGATTATGCGCGCTGACTGCGGAATCAATCATCAGCAATATGGTAGTTTTCAGCACGCACAGCGAATAGCCGAGGAGAGAAGGGAGAGGCAGAGGCAGAGTCAGAGGCAGAGTCAGAGGCAGAGGGAGGAGAGAACGGCGATTATGCAGACACCCAGCGTGTCGAGGTGGTGGCGTTGGTTGGCGGTTGTGCGTGGTGTTGGGCGTGGACCACCGGATAATGCTAGAAGACGTTAAAGGTGAGGGAAACTAAACATATCAATGTTTTTCTACTTAACGGCAACCTCAACACGCAGAGCACCTGTAAAGTGGGCCAAAGTCAGCCGCGGCCCACACGCTAAACCTATGTAAAAATCGAAATGATCTATTAACGTCCTTCAGGAAGACAGAATTTGAGATGGTAGGATCTGCCATTTGCGCAGGATCAAATGGGGGTGCCTGGATCTAGTTCGTCTCAACCAGCTGGAACATGCGTGCGAGTGGAAGGCTTTGAAGTTTGAAACGACTCTTGTGGTCCGTGTCCGTGAGTACAAATAATATGTCTTGCACGATACTCAGGAAGTACTGCTGGAAAAGGCATTGCTGACGGCAGTCTCTGCGCCTGCAAAATTGTTAACCACTCAAGGCACACTAAAAGAAAATGTTAGCGCGCCCTCTGCGTGTACGTGAAGTGCTCACGGTTAAGTCCGGTGACAGCAATGTCACGCATCGTGTGCTTAATTACCCAGATGATACTGTCCGTGAAGAGCTTGAGCTGTGGCGGTGGAATGCCTAGCAGAGCTGTAAAGCTGTTAGTGCAAAGTGATGATTCTAAGATCGGGAGATGTGTACCCGGGAAACAATTTAGGTTAATTACCAGAAGGAGCTTGAAAAACCTAACGCGATGTTATGGGAACTCAGAGAAGTCTTGATTAATCATGGTCACCGTTGGCTCGAAGACTGCGTCAAGAATGGCAGGGACTTGAGGAGTCAACAAAGGCTGTGATTGAAAGACGGGGTGGGTGAACAAGCGCGGCATTGGACATTCTATGCACTTACCCCGAGACGGCTTGTAATGGTAGCCACCACGTTCAGCACCCTAGCATCTCGTGCAGTCGGTACATTGCGGTTGTAGTCACCAAGAATTACACCCAGTAGTGGCGGCATGAAATGCGTATTCACGGCTTCAAGATCCTCAGCCTTCTTGATATACGTCTCCATCAGTTTCAATATCTCCTTAACGGCACGCAGCTGCCGTATCTTTGGCGTCTTAGTGGCAACGGTGCCTAATGAATGGGGATGAGATACGACACAGGATGAAATGTGAGGGCTTAACCACGGACCTTCCCGAGCTACAGTCTCACTGATAATGCCACTGACCGCCTTATACAGACCCAGTATGTCCAAAAAGATCCGGCCAATCTGGGGCAGGTAGAAGCTGCCGATAGATGTACAAGCAGACACGTTCGTCTTGAGGACATTGGACAAAATCTTGATATTATCGAGGTTCCTTAGGGCATCCATATTATGTGTAGCTTGAGCCATGAGCGAATCCCACTTAATAAAATAATGAGCAAGGGACTTCTCTCACTCATAAAAGAAGGGTACACAGCGTTATTCGGTGGCTCCATCAGTTAAGCAATCAGCTTCTCCTGCTGAGGTTTTTGGGGCTGTGCGGAGATCATGTAACCGACGGCCTCGTAGAAAGTGTGTACCTGTTGAAAGTAATTAGAAGGCACACTCAGACAAGATCACGCGGCATACCTGCTGAGGTGACAGGTCGACAGTGATGCGATGGAGCAGCCGCAATATCTCATCTACGAATGGCTCCTGTCCTACCGATTGTTGTATGACAAAATGCCTCCTGCACTTCTGAGCAATCCTGATGAACGTGTCGCATGCCATGTCTTGAACACCTGGATGAGTCATGCAGACGTGGTCAGAGTGACAAGACTATTGCCGTAATAGGTTTCTTACCTTCATGGGTCTCGTACATGAACTCGAACAATTTATTGACCACTGTCTTGAGAAAGTTCTAATGTGCCCTCAAGAAGCGCGGATACTGGCCGACGATGTACATGATATCTGAGGTGGCGGCAGCTTTGTTATCTTGGCCTCTTTTGATTTCGCACAATCCTAAGAAATCCTTGATGACGGTAGCAAGGCGTCTCTTCGTCTATAGATTGGGGGAGGAGTATAAAGCAGATCCGACGGCTAAGAAAATAGCACTTACTCATTGCTCCTGATATGCTTCTAATAGCCCAGCAAAGCGTGTTTAAGTTCTGCCAACTCCATTCCGAACCATCGACTTGCTTTGCAAGTTTTCCGGTCAGTATATTTTCAGTGTCCACAACGTCAAGATGCGTAAGATAGACCAGTAGCTCCCGCATCTGCTTATAGAGGACAATCGAATCTTATTCCTTCATGAATTCACGAACGATTTCACCCTCGTCGTTTTCGACGATTAGCACCTGGAACCACCATTTATATCGGAACAAAGAGAGGAAAAGTCAAACGCACCTCCTCTGGCTTAACCATCCGATCGATGACAACAAGTCTCAAGTTACTCAAGACGTCGCTGTAGATGTTCTTCCTCAGAGACATGTCATTGAGCATGTTTCCGCCGCCGCCGCTCCCGAGGCTCAAGCCCATTAGTAATCCGCTCTCGCCGATAGAAAGAGCCTGGATCTCGTCGTAGAGTTCTGCCACCAGTTTCGACCAGTATTCAAGAGTGATCTTGAATCTCGCGCTCGTCAACCTGGGAGATCTTGACCATGTAAAGATGCGCGTTCAACTTCGACAGAACATCACGGTTCGCCTCGGTCTCGAGAGCACGCAAGTGGGTGGACAAGGGGTTGGGAGGAAAGAGGGCTAGGTTGCGGACTCCTGGCCGGCGTCTGATGCTGAAGCACATGATGCTGCAGCAACATTGGTGGAAGGAGGAATCATGCGGTTGATGGAGGTCTCATGACCATGGCGAACTTCAATATGACAAACCTGGGATTGTACAAGGAATTGCCAGTGGATCAGCGATACATGCCAGCAAATATTGGGGGCCCAGACGCCCTACTCCAGCGTGAAGTTGCGAGGAGCCCGTATCTTAATGGAACATTTAGTGGTGGGGTATGCCCTAGTGAGGGCCCGTTTGCCAGTGAGTCGTGTTAGCGCTTGAGGAAAGATTCACTCATTAAAACTAGCCAAATTGCCTGATTAGGAACTTCCAAACTATATCCCACGGTCCTTCAGCATGTTGTACGGATTAGATCTAATCTAAAATTCGAAATTCATACAAACAGAGACATTCCGATTCCGATATTCGCACACGTACGCTCCTCTTGAGTCTTGACAGGGTTTTTGACCTCCTCTACGAGTCGGGGATGCAACCGTGTTTGGCAAACTGGACAAGTACTATATAGTTTGGCTACGTTACAATACCAGCGTAAATTTATTATTTGTCTACAGAATTTAATAGACTGTATTACAACTGATTAGGCTATAGCCTCATTCCGGAACGCAGTAGCAACTACCTACGAGCCAAGACTCCAGCCACTGCGCCAGGACACCCGGCACTCCTATCATCATCGATGCATCTTTGGCTCAATATGTTGTACCCCGTTCAATTCTCGTCAAAGTAGTGTATCTAACTAGTGTAGTCTTCTATAACTAAAGCCTACTCCTTGTACATTTTGTATTTGTAACTACGGCGCGTTTGCCAGTCCAACAAAACGAGTCGGGGATGGGCGCTTGTCGCCGTTACGATGCAGTACTAGTGCTGAACGTCTGGACATGCATTTTTGCAGCAGATATGAAGTAAGGACCACAACACAGGAAGCTTTGAGGTGTTCCCGTGAAAGAGTTGTTAATCGAAGCAAAACAGTCACATGTCGGAATTCGGAAGACCGAGTCGTGCATCCTGCGCCATCTACCGTGTTGAACGTTGAACTCTACACTAGCAATTGAGTATAGCTAGGAGTCCTCACTTAAATAAACTTCTGTTTTCAGAACGGGGAACCTTCACGTGCCTTCACCCATTCGTCTTACGACCGATATCATTCAATAACTCTTGTCATACTCCAGCGGATTGGATTCGACGACGACCTAGTAGACATTCGGATACGTCGACAGGATACTGTACGAATCATTCCCAGCATCTAATTTGCAGAGTCCAGACATAATACCAAAGCATACGAATCGAGCCTTGACACTGTACTGCTGCGCCTGCACAGTTGCTGTATCGCGATTCACGAACCCACTTAATATTAATCGGGAGGATTAGTTGTAGAGATGGGGAACGTGCAATCAGGCTCCACACTTACACGGACAAGTGGAGCATTGGATTCATTTGTCACCGAGCTGGGAGGGGACATTGTTTATGACAAGGGGTGAGCCATCGTCCTATACACCCCCATATGCGCATCCACTCCTACTTTTTTCCGTAGACTCAATCAGGCGCGCTTCCTCAAGACCGTCAAATGTAGACACCGAAATGGATACCTTGTAGTCAAGATATTCATCAAACAAAACCCTGGAATCAGTCTCAGGACCTACCAAAGAAAGCTGAAGAGTATGTGGTTTTAAGGCGTGATGTGCATCCTGCTGAATTTGAGCAGCGGACAGGGAGGCCCTACTGGACATTCCAAATATCTACACCTACCAAACATTCTTCGAGACAGAGAAAGCGGGATATCTCATTCGTCAATGGGCTGCAAGTAACTTGTATGATCGTATAAGGTGCGACCTGAAACGCACGTTGTGGCTGTTGTGCTCATTTACTCAGTACTCGGCCCTTTCTCTCTCTCATTGAGAAGAAATGGATTGCTTACCAACTTCTCACCGCACTCTCTCAAGCACACCTCCACAAAACACCGCATGGAGATATCAAGTCGACAAACATACTGGTTACGTCGTCAAATTGGATCTACGTGACCGACTTTGCTGGGTCTTTGAAGCCTACGCGACTCCCTCTAGATGATCCTTCGGATTTCTCCTTCTTCTTTGATACCAGTGGCCGGCGGATTTGCTATGTTGCCCCAGAACGATTTTATAAGGCGGAGAAGGAGGTCAGGAAAGCATGGGCAAATGAAGAAACCGAAAGCCAGGAGCCCACGGTGACCGAGGCGATGGATGTCTTCAGTCTGGGCTGTGTCATCGCGGAAGTGTTTCTTGAAGGCGCATCTCTTTTCTCGCTCAGCCAGCTGTTCAAGTACCGCGAGGGAGAATATAGTGTGGAAGCACAGCTTTTGGCAATAGGTGATGAAGGTGTACGAGTGAGTAATGACTAGTGCCGGTTTTGTTTGACAGCTCACCTGTCTTCTATGATCTAGTCGATGATCAGACAGATGATTTCGTTGGATCCTGCTGCACGACCTACCTTTGGTATGCTCCTCGAGAGTTCACGAGGGACCGTCTTGCCCGAGTGTTTCTACTCGTTCTTGCACGCGTATGTGGCTTCAGTTGGCGAGCGTCCTTCTTCCCTCCTTTTCCCCTCCTTGTCAAATGCTCCTCCCTCCACCCATTTCCCAGCAGCCACTCCCAATACAACGATCAAAGTGCCAAGTAAAGAGACAGTGACAACAACTCCCGGTGCAACTGGGAATGATAGTGTACTTCCTGGTGATAGCGACCACAGATTGGAGCGAATTTGGGAGGACTATGAAAACGTGGACCCATACCTCCTTGATGACACAGATGTCGAGAAGACTGTGATGGATGTTAAGGTCGAATTCGGCAATAATATCGCTGGACCATCCAAACCTTTCCAGGTATATTTTGCATTTATTGTCGGGGGAGCTGAAATTTATGCGCCGACTTGTAGGATGTTTTTCCTGTTTCCTTACATATTCCGTCTCATTCCTCAAATCGCCATCCAACTCCTGCTGAAGATGGACCTGCGCTCATACTTCTCTCCCTCGTTTTAGCCAATATCCGCAACTGCCTTCTCCCTTCGTCTCGCCTCCGTGCTCTAGATATATTGCTTGCTCTATCGACTCGGCTGACTGATGAGGCCAAACTTGATCGGGCCGTGCCATACATCGTAGAGCTGTTGCGCGACGAGGCCGCAGTAGTCAGGGCTGCAGCAGTCAGGACGTTGGTTCAGATTGTGCGTACTCTTTATGTCTTCAACTTTCAACTTTGCTGTACTCACGAGTAAATTCTTTCCACAGCTGACTCAAGTAAATGTCATCACTCCCTCGAATGCATCGATAGTCCCAGAGTATATCATCCCGAATGTGCGTTATCTCGTGCAGGATCCAGAGGTCTCAGTCCGGGCAATGTATGCCCAGTGCATTGCTCCCCTAGCTCATACTGCTGACCGCTACCTTGAGATGGGGCAAGCTCTTAAGGCACATGGCGTTTCTCCTGGGATCAATGGTGACAGACAGGAGTACGAGGAAATGCACTTCGAGGCAAGCCATACCAACTCTCTTTGCTTCGCCTTACATCTGAGTCTTGTTGATAGGTATCGTACGACGTCATGAAACAAGACCTACTCCTCTCCATCCAGGAACAGTTGTCAACGCTTCTCATGGATCCTTCTCCCATTGTTAAGAGAGCGGTGCTACATAATATCAATGCGCTTTGCGTATTTCTTGGCAGTCAAAGAACGAACGATGTCGTCTTGAGCCATATGATCACATACTTGAACGACCGAGACTGGCTCCTTCGCCATGCGTTTTTTGAGAGCATCGTCGATGTCGCGGCATGTGCTGGAGGCAGGAGCCTGGATGAATACATTCTGCCGCTGATGGTACAGGCACTGTCTGGTGAATTTGACTACCCTCATGATCAAAAATGTTTCTGACACCTCTGGTTTCAGATGTGGAAGAAACTGTAGTAGCACGGGTACTTGCCGCCCTCACTAGCCTTTGCGAGTTGGGTCTTTTCCAGAAGATGCGCATTTGGGAGCTGATGAGCGCAACTCTCCCATTTTTCTACCACCCCAATATTTGGATACGACAGGGTATGGTTTACACATCCTTTTGATCGAAAGGAGACTCATCATTTGCGCAACTCCAGGTGCAGCTTCCTTTATCGCAGCTGCAGCTAAATGCCTACCTCAAAGTGACGTCTGGTGTATTCTTTACCCTTCCTTGCGTCATCTTTTGCGTTCGGATGTGAAGGAGATCGAAGAACAGAGTCTGTTGTCTGCAATGAAACCAGCAGTAAGTCGAATGTTCTCAAACCCAAGTTCGTTACTCATGATTTCAAGTTGCCACGTCCCGTTTTTGATGGTGCTGTGCAATGGGCAATGAGGGCAGAGAAAACGACATTTTGGAGGGGACATCGTAGACCAGCATCGAAGGTGGAATCGCCGAGGGAAAGCATAATTTCCATGAGAAAGGGGGGAAGCACGGCTGCTATTGGACGCAACAAGACAGAAGAGTGAGTTCCTCGGTTTACAGCTATCACAGGGCTAATACGTGCAAAAGGGACGAAGTGCAGTTGCTGAAACTGCACAACCTTGGTATGACACCTGCTGATGAGATGAAGCTCACGGCGATGCGGGATTACATCCTTAAGCTAGCTAATAATGCATCAAGGTCGGTTTGTCTTTTACTATCTACTGGCTCCTTTGATCGAGCTTGTGGTAGTTTCACATCCAGACCAAGAATAGAACCAGAATTAGAAAAGAATCTTCGTTCGATGGGAGATGTTGAACTGCAAAAGCTATCGGTTGTTCCTCAGACGGTCTTTCTCAAGTCAAAATCCTCTACGTCTGATTTGACGCCCAGGTCTTCTCGCTTGGCGTCCTATTCACGTAGGCCTGACTTCCCAGGACGCCTACATACACCACATATGAGCAGGGCTTCTAGTGTCGACCATGGAGCAACAAATCCTGCACTGGAAGACCTCAAGCGGAGATTAGCTGCTATCAATGGCTCTTCGTCATCACTTAACCTCACCGCCACTGCTCGGGAACGCCAAGCAGTGCAATCGCCCTCCCTCCTGCCTTCAACCTCGCAGCCAGCAACTCTTGCGCTCCCTGCTCATCCCCCAGGACATGATCGCCCGAGCAGCCCGACAGATTCGGTAGTGTCTACTACCAATTCAGCGACTGTCCGGACTGTGCATCGGTTACATGTTGGAAGCACAGATGGGCAGAAGGCTGCTCCTGCGGTTGGCTCGTCCAATACGAATGCAGTAGGTTTACTGGAGGCGCCATCTAAGATGCG